ATCCACATTGTGGAAAATAGCAAGAATTCCTTCTTCTTTATGGCTGAATAATATTCCAATGTATATTTATTACATTTTCTTTATCCATTCATCCACGGTTGGACACTTAGGTTATTTCCATACCTTGGCTATTGTAAATAATGCTGCGGTGGACATGGGGTGCAGATATCTTTCTGAGTTAGTATTTTTGTTTTCTTTGGATAAATACCCAGAAGTGGAATTGATGGATCACATGGTAGTTCTATTTTTAATTATTTGAGGTCCCTCCATACTGTTTTCCACAGTGGCTATACCAGTTTGTATTCCCACCAGCAGTGCATAAGGGTTCATCTTTCTCTACATCCTTGCCAACGCTTTTTTTTTTTTTTGCCATTTTGACAGGTGTGAAGTGGCATCTCATTTTGGTTTTGATTTGTCTTTCCCTGATGATTGGTGATGTTGAGCATCCTTTCAAACATCTGTTGACCATCTGTGTATCTTTGGAAAAATGCCCATTTTTAAAAATGAAATTATTTAGGTGGTTTTTTTTTTGTTTTTTTGTTTTTTTTTTTTTTTTTTTTTTTTTGCTATTGAGTTGTGAGTTCTTTACATATTTTGGAATTAACTCCCTATCATTTACAAATATTTCATCCATTCATTAGGTTACTTTCTCATGTTTATAGTTTCTGTTGCTCTGCAGAAGCATTTTAGTTTGATGTAGTCACGCTTGTTTATTTTTGCTTTTGTTGGTTTTGCTTTGGTGTCAGATCCAAAAAGTCATCACCAAAACCAATATTAAGGGCTTATCTCCTGTGTTTTATTCTAGGAGTTTTATGGTTTCAAGTCTTACACTCAAGTCTGTTCTTCATTTTGAGTATATTTCTGCATTGCGTCAGATAGTGGTCTAGTTTCATTCGTTAGCATATACTGTCCAGTTTTCCCAACATTTATTTATTGAAGAGATTGTCCTTTCTACATTGTACATTCTTGGCTTCTTTGTCATAAATTTGCTGATTGTATAAACATGGGTTATTTCTGAGCTCTGTATTCTGTTCCATTATTCTAGGTGTCTGTATTTATGTCAGTACCACACTGTTTTGATTACAATAGCTTTTTAATACAGTTTGAAATCAGGTAGCAGGATGCCTTCAGCTTTGTTCTCAAGTTGGCTTCGACTATTTGGGGTCTTTTGTGATTCATGACAAATTTAATATTGTTTGTTCTATTTCTGTAGAAAATGCCATTGGAATTTTGATAGGAATTGTCCTGAATCTATAGATTGTTTTGGTTTGTTTGGACATTCTATATTAATTCTTCCAGTCCACAGCATGGAATATGTTTCTATTTATTCTTCAGTTTCTTTCATCAGTGTCTTACAGTTTTCACTGTGCAGGTATTTTACCTCCTTGGTTCATTTGTTGCTAAAAGTGTTTTATTCTTTTTTTTTTTTTTTAAAGATTTTATTTATTCATGATAGTCACACAGAGAGAGACAGAGAGGCAGAGGGAGAAGCAGGCTCCATGCAGGGAGCCCGACGTGGGATTCTATCCCAGGTCTCCAGGATCACGCCCCGGGCCAAAGGCAGGCGCCAAACTGCTGCGCCACCCAGGGATCCCGTGTTTTATTCTTTTTGTTGAAATTATAAGTGGATTTGTTAATTTCTCTTTCTGGTAGTCTGTTATTAATGTACTGTCTCTGACTTCTGGCAGTTTGATTATAATGTGCCTTGGTGTGTGCCTCTTTGGGTTTATCCTAGAAGTAGTTTTTTGAGCTTCTTGAATTTATCCTTCCTTTTCCTCAGATTTTGGCCATTATTTCTTTAGATAATCTTTCTGCCCCTTTCTCTTTTTATTCTTCTGAGACTCTTTTAGTATACAGTGTGACAGGTGTCCTATAGGCCCCGTAGGCTCTGTCATGTTTCTTCATTCTTTTTTTGTTTCTCTGATGAGATGATTTCAAATAACCTGTTTCCATGTTGCTGATTCTTTCTTCTGTGAGATCAAGTCTGCTGTAAAACCCCTCTAGTGAATTTTTCAGCTGTTATTATATTTAAAAATTTTTTATATTGTTAGCTGCTTTTTTATAGCTTTTTAAAAAAGATTTATTTATTTATTATTTATGATAGACACAGAGAGAGAAAGAGAGAGAGAGAGAGGCAGAGACACAGGAGGAGGGAGAAGCAGGCTCCATGCGGCGGGAGCCCAATGCGGGACTCGATCCTGGGACTCCAGGATCGTGCCCTGGGCCAAAGGCAGGTGCCAAACCACTGAGCCACCCAGGTACCCCTATGACAGTTATTTTGTTAATATTCTTCTCATGGTATTCATGCATCACTGTCCTGGTTTCATTTAACTGTGTTCTCTCTTACTGATTGAGCATCTTTATGACAGTTATTTTATTTTATTTATGTATTTTAAAGATTTTATTTATTTGACAGAGAGAGCACAAGCAGTAGGAGCTGGAGGGAGAGGGAGAAGCAGACTCCCGGCTGAGCAGGGAGCCCAACATGGGGCTTGATCTCAGGACTCTGGGATCATGACCTGAGCCAAAGGCAGACACCCTAGCAACTGAGCCACCCAGGTACCCCTATGACAGTTATTTTAAATTTGTTGTTAGCTCATAGATTGTGGTTTTTTTAAGGTCAGTTTTTGGAGTTTCATTTTGTTCCTTTGGGTCACATTTCCCTGGTTTTTTTTTTTGTTTGTTTTGTTTTTTTTTTTTTTTTTGAGAAAACAGGCATCTGTCCCAGTCTTTATGTATTGGTTTGGTGCAGGGGAAGACCTTCACCAGTCAGCCCAGCTAGAGGTTCTAGTACTGCTCAAACCTTTTGCGATTCCCCTCTTCCTGGCATCTCACTTTGTAACTGTAGCTCTAATGTGTTCTGGTGCTCATCTCTGTTTTTAGGGCTTTCAAATTCTGCTGACCCCATCAGCATGCTGAGTCAGGTGAGACAAAAACCAATGCCTTGGGCAGCCCCCAGACAAACCACAACACTGGATGCACAGTTTACTCTTGTTTCCATCCCAGGGGAAGAGCCCAGGATGGGAAGTATTGCTGGTTGTATTGCTGTATGCTGGGTGAGGGCAGGGGCAGAAGCATGAGTGGGCATGCAAAATGCCATGAATTTTCCTACCTCTTTTGTTGGAATCTTGTCTTGGTTTTATGCTGGCCTGAGTCCTATAGCTTCTCAGCTGGTCACTGGAGTGCTCACAAAGGTACTCTAGTCTGTATGTTGTTAACTCAGTGTCTAGGAGAAGGGGTGGGGACCTTGGAGCTTCAGAGTCTACCATTCTGATAACATCCTTCTCCTTTTCTTTTTCACTTTTATTTTTTTTAAGATTTTAAAAAATGAAGTGCAACATAAACACAGAAAACTGCGTAATTCATAATGTCACAGCCTGATGAATTTTTAGAAGTGAACAGAGCTATTTATCTCCCAGATAAGAAAATTACCATTACCAGCACCTTCCAGCACCATCTGCCCCCTCTCATTCACTACTTGACTTCTTTGAAAAGTAACTATTGTCCTGACGTCCCTATTCTGACTTTTATTTAGCCTCATAGATTTTCTTTTTCTTTCTTTCTTCTTTCTTTTCCTTTCTTTTCCTTTCTTTTCTTTTCCTTTCTTTTCCTTTCTTTTCCTTTCTTTTCCTTTCTTTTCCTTTCTTTTCCTTTCCTTTCCTTTCCTTTCCTTTCCTTTCCTTTCCTTTCCTTTCTTTTCCTTTCCTTTCCTTTCCTTTCCTTTCCTTTCCTTTCCTTTCCTTTTCTTTCTTTTCTTTTCTTTCTTTAAAAAATAATCTCTACACTCAGTGTGGGGCTCAAACTCACAACCTTGAGATAAAGAGTTGGATGCTGTACCGACTGAGCCAGCCAGGTGCACCAGCCTTGTAGATTTTTTTTCTTGTTTTAGAACTTTATGTAAATGAAATTGTACTTTATAAAAATTGATTGTGCTTGCTTCGGCAGTACATGTACTATAAAAATTGATTGAAGTATAAAAATGTACCTATAAACATGTAGAAAAGTATACTCATCATAAACGTTCAGCTTGATGAAGACATCCACTTAACTAGCATCTAAATCAAGATAAAACATTACCAGTGTCCTAGAAGTCTCAAGTGTCCCTTGCAGTCACTGCCAAGTCGTCCTTCCCTTCTCTTCACTACTAAGCAACTAAGAAACCACTTTTAGCAGCATAGATTAGTGTAGACTCTTTGTACTTTGGGAACCAAACAGTATGGACTGTTTTGTGTTTGGCTTTCATTTGGTGTTAGCTCTCACAGATGGTGGGATGCAGGAACGGCCCCAGGTTGGGAGATTGCCTGTGGCCTTGGCTAGCAGCTTACATCCGTGCTTTGCCGGTTTTCCTCTTCCTGTGTTTTGAAGGACACTGAGCTGTGCCATAGCAGCCTGAGGCTTCTTCAGTGGTATGGGGTATTTTAGGGGGAGGTCCTGGAAGAAAAGGCTGGGAAAGGGCAGGCCTCCAAAAAGACTATGTGTGATCATTTCCATGAAAAAGAAAAAGTCCACAGCATCAGACAGATCCAGCTGCCAATGAAGGATTCAAATTAGAGCTTACAGACCATTTGCCTTGAATCATAAAGTAAGATCCCTTTTTATCAAAACTTGATTAATACAGAACGATGTAAAGTAAAAAATAGTTTTACTTCTCTTGTAATTAAAAATATTAGTTGAAGTGTGGATCCTTTGTCTCAGCTTTTTTAAATTTATTTATTCATGAGAGACATAGAGACAGAGACACAGGCAGAGGGAGAAGCAGGCTGCATGCAAGGAGGCTGATGTGGGACTCGAACCCAGGAATCTGGGATCACGCCCTGACCCAAATGCAGGCATTCAAACGCTGAGCCGCCCAGGTGTCCCCTTTGTCTCAGCTTCTGAGGACCAAGAGGGGTGACGGATGAGGACTGTCAGCTCTCCAGGAACCCAGGTTGTCAGGCTGGGACAAGGGAAGGAAGGAAGTGCAGCTGGAGGGTTATTTACCCCCTCTCTTCCCTTCTTAGTTGCCTCTTGAAGTGGATTTAACCAAAGCCAAGAGACGAGATTTTGAACCATCTGTGGAACAAGCAAGATATAGCAGCTGCCGGCAGAACGTGGTCCTGGGACCCCCCAAAGCACGGGAGGTGACCTCCCCTTGCAGACTGAGCCGCTCAGAGGATCCCCCCTGTGTGGTGCAGGAAGAGAAGGCTGGCAGCTCCCGGTGAGGCCACGGTTCCCAGTTTCTTCCCTTTCCACTCTTCCTCTTCAGGTGGTCCAAGGGACCTTCATTCTTTACCCACTGAGCCAGCCAGTTGGTCTGTGCACAACCCCAGGAATCGCACATGGGTTACTCCCTTAGCTCAGGACCTCACGCCTACCTTGTGGCTCTTGTGCTGCAGGAGCCTGACTTCTGCTATGGAGAGCGATGCCACGTACCAGCGGAAGCTCCGGCAGAAACAGCTGCAGCAGAAGTTCCGGGAGGAGATGGAGAAACAGCAGCAAGTCCAACTACTTGCCTCGTCAGTTGAAAAGAAGAATCTGGGTGTGTGAGAAGGATGGGTGTGGAGGCAGTGGGGAGCTGTCCCAAGGGGCCTGCCTGACCCCTGGCCAGCGGGAACCCCATGGCACTTGCCCCAGGTTCCACGCAGGAGAGGAGTCTAGGTGATTGAGAGAACAAAGTCCCATTTTAAAAGACATTGCTCTGTTTTAAGGGAAGGCAACAGGCCTTGACATCATCTAGAACTAGATACTGCAGCGGATAGAACTTTTCTCCCTTCCAGGTACCGTGGCCACCTCTGCTAGGAGGCCTGAGTGGTCTGCAAATATCAGGCAGACTTCCTGGAAGATAACGCTTCATCCTAAGCTTTGGTTTACTCGAGTCTAGACTCCGTGGTACTGGGACAGATTCCTGGGGAGTCTTGCCCGGAGAATAGAAACAAAGGGCTTATCTCAGACCAATGGATCTTTGTCTAGCTTCTCCCGAAGGATTATAAAGATTCAGAGGACCTTCTTCGGGTTAACTCATTAGTATTCCCCTCAGCACCGACAGGCTTAAATTAATGTAGGGGGAAAACACATCTTACTGTGCTAGGGATGTTCTTAATCTATTATTCTGGACCTGGAGCTTCCGACCACTGCAGAAACTCCTGGTGGGGAAGGGTGTGCGGAGGTCCCCACCCTGACCACACAACCAGAGCCACTGTTTCTATTGGTTTTACATACTGAATTTCTGCTTAAGATTTTTTTGGAACAAGGGTTATAGCTTTAAAAAGTAAAAAAATGGACCAGAGAGCTTCTCACAACCCCTCTATTTTATATGCTGCTTAAGGAGAAATGAACCCCAATTTGGTGAGAAGAAAAAAAGAATAGTCTTTCTGATCTCTTGTAGATCTGCAGGTAGGGACGGGCAGTCAGGAAGCTTGACTTGGCTGCTGGCTGTGCCAGGAGCCGGTGTAACTCTAGGCGGCTTTGCACTTCTGAGGCTCTCCTGGCAGTTCAGTGATTGTGTGCATTTGTCTCGCTCCTTGCTCCTCGCTCGCTGCTTGCGTGGGAACTGTAGCAGCGCCGCCAGCACCTCCTCTGAGGCAGAGCACTCCTGTGATTGCTGTTTCGGAGCCAGCCACGGACAATGACTTCCTTACAGGTAAGAGCCACGTGAATGACAGTGAGTACCTACGAAATGCACCTTTGGTTGTTGCTAACACATTTTGTTTTTTAATTTTTATTTATTCATTTATTTTTGTCACTAACACATTTTAAAAGAGGCATAAAAATCCTCATTTTTATCTGTTTTATGGCCCTGAAGGTTTTGGGACAAAAGAAGACCCATAACTGGCTGATGGCAGTTCTGCTAGCACACACTCAGCTCCTCTCTTGTCCTAAGAGAAGCTCTGCTGTACTTTTGGGTGGGGGACAGAGCAGTCCCAGAATCTGTCATAGTCCACTCGTGACGTGGAATTTCCTATGACCAGTGCTTTGTGTGAGAATGCTTGTTTGATTGTGCATTTCCCATGATCCTGGTCCTCACAGACAGCCTTGGAATGTGGGATGTGGGTCCAGAGGCAGGCGAGAGTGATACCAAGGCCTTGTGTAAACCAGAGCCGCTCCAGATCCCTGACACCACAGTCCTGAAGAACCAGGTGGTGACCTGGAACCTCTGCCAGCAGAATCCACAAGGAAAGTCTGGACCCTTGCACGGCATCAACCAAGATGTCACAGGTAGTAATGTGTTTAGGGACAAAAATGGAAAGAACTTGGGTTTAATTCTATGCATTTTAGAGGAAGAATGCCATTTCATTTTAAGAAGTTGGGTGATAGTATGCTGGAGGAACAGCAGTCTGAGAAAATGAAAGATAACTGGCTTATGAGCCAGAACCCTTCTTTTGCAGTCCTGACCAGTGCTGTAGCCCTTGTAACCCTTGCTTGCAGTAGGGAGCTTACATGACAGAATGGAGAGCTTCTCCATTGCGTTTGGTTATTGTAACTTGGTTTAGTGTTAATAGAGTGATCTGCCCTAATAGTTTTCACTCTTAGCCTTTTAGTTTATGTTAGGGTTTTTAACTAACATCAGAAATTATTCATGGTCAGTTTATTCCTCATTTGAAAATCACAGCAGCCATATATATATTTAATTTTATTATTTATTCATGAGAGATACAGAGAGAGGCAGAGACACAGGCAGAGGGGGAAACAGGCTCCATGCAGAGAGCCTGATGCGGGACTCGATCCCGGGACTCTGGGATCATGCCCTGAGCCGAAGGGAGATACTCAACCACTGAGCCACCCAGGGATCCCCACAGCAGCCATATTTAAATGATTTTTTTCTTCCACAGGAAACTGTGATATCTATAGGAAGAACCAGGACTTGAAGAAAAGGAAATTGGATCCATCCTGAGGCTCAGGTCACATCCTTGGACTTTGTCACAAAGGGACTTTCTAAAGCTACTTTTTGGTCATAATATTGTTCATCATTCCTAGGGAATGAGCTTATTTCCAAGGATTTACCTTGCTTCATTCTGAACTTAACCCAGAAGATCTATTGGAGCCTTCTGCAGATAAAACTGAGCAGTGAGAAGACAAGTGCTTTAAGAAAGCTCGTCACACACCGCAGGGGGAGGCGTGGAGATTAAAAACCCTTTCTTTGGCTCTTGATGTTCTTCACTATTCCTAAGCTACTGTGTTAATATGGATAGAAATTTTAGGGATCCTCAGTGGCTTCCTGCATTCAAGCAATGTAAGCTATACTACTAAGTACCTGCAACTGCCTCCACGAAATTACTGTAATGTCTGCCTCCTTTCACTTTGGGTGGGGCTCAGTGTTTAGCGTTGTCCACACCATACCGCGTATCCTTCTGAGAACAAAAGCTACAGTGTTTTACTACTTTGCAGTAATCCAGGTTATGTTTTTCATCTGTGATACACATCTCTGATTTATAGGTCACGGTGTCACTATCCTGCAGTTTTTTCCTAATGGAGGAAATAACCTAAGAAGACCAAAGAAAAGGCATTTTAAGAAAGCAAAATAAATTACTTTGTAACAAAAAATGTGAGTGTTTGTATTTCTCCTTTTTAGGTGGGAGATAGAACTCAACGTAAATGGATTTTTCCCAGTTTCAGACGTTCATAATTCTACCCCCAGCCAATAATGAGTTTACAAGTTTACTTTTTAAGATGCGTCTTGGGCAGCTGTGCCTTTTACCTAATCTTTGAGCTGTGGCTTTTATTAATTTTTGGATCACAGTTCCATTTGTGGGAAGCTATGGACCCGAGGCAAGGTACTTTTTAAAGATTTTATTTTTTCATGAGACACAGCAGAGACACAGGCAGAGGGAGAAGCAGGCTCTGTGCTGGGAGCCTGGTGTGGGGGCTCCATCCCAGGACCGCAGGATCATGACCTGAGCTGAAGGCAGATGCTCAACCGCTGAGCCCCCAGGTGCCCCCCGAGGCAAGGAACTCTTGAAGTACAAGGCGGCAGCCAGCCATTTCTATTCCTATGGAAGATGAAGAGGCCATAGCTTACCCTGATTTCTCCTTTATCTTACCAACTTCATTAATGGATTTGGTTATATGTTCATCTTTTGGTTCTGACCATTTTTTTCAGAAAAAAATCTCTCCCTTGTCTCAAGCATAATCTTAGTTTAGTTCAGATCTTCTGCTTTAAAGTCCCCGGAGTGAGGAATTCAGTTATAAATTGTACACAACTCGAAACATGAGCTAATGAGATCATGAAAAGAAATTTTCTGGAAATGAAACCCCACAGCTCAACAAAAGCAAGTTTGGTTTATTTGAATGGTTTCATTAAATAAGTCTACAAAGGTAACAAACTGAAGCACAGAGCGCAATCTTACAAGAAGCGCAACACCCAGAGTTAGTGCAAAATGTACAATTAACGGCTGCTGAGAAACCCCCACGGTTTGAATTCAGTTTATTTGTTTTTTAAACAGTGTACATTGTTAAATAATGTAAGGAAAACATTTATAATCCAGAAAAGATTTTTGTAATGTGGAAAAAGATACTCAAAGTGTACTATTAACACAAAAATAATTTAAACAGTTCAGTAGCACTAGTTCATTCCTCTAGGCTTCAGTTACTTCATCCACAGGAGGGGAAAAAAAATCAACAGTAAATAAAACCAGTTCTTATTTTTTGTGTGTTAAGTGAAGAGATCTCAAAATTAAACCAAAATAACAAAAAATAATGTGCTGCATTTGGTTCCCTCGTTCCTCTGGTAGAAAGTATGGTTTCATTCATCTTAGGTGGTCTGTTTCTCATTTACTTGGCACCTTCTTTGTTCTATCCTTACTCTTACCATCTCCCCAAGGATCTTAAGCAGAGAATAAATAAGTAAACAACCTTGAAGCAGGGCTTGGAACCCCTGTCCTTTTCATTTCTACTTTGCTAAACCTTCGGCTTTTGTTTGCATCTTTGGGACCTAGGTTAACTTACTAAAAGAAAACTGGGCCCGCGAAGGAACAACAGCTTAGGACAGCCAACCAGGCTCCCCTTCTGGTGATTCCTGGGATGTGCCGTTGAGGTGGGTAAGAGATTGGAAACGTGTTAATTTCCCAACTCGAGTCAAGAGAAGCAGCACCCAAAAAATCAGGAGTCCTAGCTTCTTTCTCCATCTTTGGAGATAATAGATATCCCAAACATAGCCAATTAGAGTATTTTCTGAAAGCTCTGAAAATAACAGAACTGCCCATTATGACTAGGCATAGCACTAAATAATACTGGTTGGTTGCAGTTACTGAAGGGGAGTATTTATATCAGAATGTGAGAATATCAGTTGCAATTCTAGAAACAGGTGGCACAACAGATTTAAGATCCTGCTACCATGTGGACATCACAGAGGAAATGAGTAGGAATAAGCACTCTTTCTTAAAATGCTCAATTCAGATGTGGGTCCACTTTCCACAAAATACAGCACCCCAAGCTGAGAAATGCAGGATACATTTGCAACAAGAGGAAAGCAATCCAAAGTTCTTAGAGCAACTTTCTCCATCTGTGACTTTTCCAATCAACGTTTCCCAACTTAAAAACTAGCCCCCACCCCCTTTCCCCTTTATATTCAGCCATTTCCACTAGGTGTTGTCTGTCCAAACCTGGCTTGAGTAAGTAAGGCTCATGGCACCTGCAGGCCAGGCAGCACATATTTTCCTGACAAGTTTGTTCTCTCGTTCTTAGTCTTTCTTTTTCTTTCATTTATCACAACCACCCTTAATCTTTTAAATTGCTCAATTTTGTTACCACACCCCTCCTTACTGTTCCTGAAACAGAACTTTCTGCTTTCAACCACTGATGTCAACTTAACTTCTCACCCTGCTCATCTTACACCTGCTCTAGACAAAATTGAATGACTTAAAAAAAAAAAATACTCTTTCAGTTTCCCTTTGGCATAATCCTCTGCTGGGGTCACATGGACCTAATATCCTTCCATACGCCCTCTGCTGATCTGGGGTCTGATGAGAAGTTGGTGCTAATGGCAGAAGCAGTAGAGTCCAAGGCACTAAAATATCCAGCCAGCAATACTGGGAGAACAGAAGTATTCAAGTACAGTAATTTATACAATCTTACATTCACATTTATTTATCTACTACAATGGAAATACAAAGGAAAAAGCTAAAGTGTCTCAATAAGTAAAGGACAGAGCTTGCTTTTTTTGCAACTTTTTAAACCTTTCATATCTTACTCTTAAAACTACTGTTGTCCAACAACATTTATATATCACAGTGTTTCCACATCAAAACTGATGGCAAAGTTACATGTCCGCAGGGGACTTAATTTTTTTCCTAATTGCTAATGCTGCAGTCAAAGCTGCTAATATCATTTGCTTAAAGCACTAATGACCTATCATAAGAAAGGGTTGAAACCTCAGTCCCCTGGTGTTTTTCCACTGGTTCTAAAGCAAAAAGAAAGAACCAAAGAAGAAACAGAAAAAAAGGGGGAGGGGAAACAGGGTAGGAGAGACCCCAATAGTTTTTGCTTTTTTTGTCTTGTGGTTTAGATTCTTGAGGAAATAAGGGATTTGGGGTAGGTACCAAAATTAAGAGCTCCACCCACTTGAAAATACTGATGGGTTTGGTTTTACACTGAGCTCTCTTATAGTTTTCTGATAAATGATTCTCTTTTCTAGCCCTCACTATTGGGTGTAGATAAATAGGAAAGCATGGTTTGAAGCTGCCCCATCACAAGAAAGCTGCTCTTTCCTTCTTGTTCCACTCCAATAAATGGTGAAGGGGAGGGAGAGTCTCAATTCTGAGGGCTCTAAGCGGTATTAAAAAACATTCCTTTCTGGCAAGAAATAACCAGTTAAATGCAGCACTAGTAGTTAGTATATAGGCTACTTTCCCATTCCCCCCCCCTCCCACCCACCCCTCAGCATTCCATCTCCTGCCCCCAAATCTACTCAGTTAAAGTCTCTAGGTCTAAGTGGTCCGCAGGTTGGAACCTGGGGGGTTGCTGATGGATTTCTGCAAATTGCTGATGTTGAAATTCTGTAAGGAGGCAGTTCCCACAGGCTGGAACTGGCCAAGTGGCTGTGGTGCCGGGCCACCCGTCCCACTCCACTGAGTGCCAAAGGGGGGAGCTGGAAAACCGTACTGCTGTGGGGGGCACATAGACTTGGTGAAGTGACCTAGAGAGGTAGCTGATGCTGCAGAGATGGGGGCAGAACCACCCAGATTTGAGGTCATGGAGATGCACAGCTGACCAGGTGCGGAGAACTTTCTTGCCATTCCAGGGCCCTGAAAAGAAAACAGCTACATGTAAAGTTTGGTGTGGGTATAACTCAAAGGTGAAATGGGTGGTACTGAAATCTAATTCTAGAATCAGGGCTGTTCAAATCTTACAGAGTATAGTGAAACCCGAACCATACCTTTTTTTAATATGTGTATGCAATTAAGGGTGGTGAAAGAAAAGGGGAGAAAAAAACGAGTTGACACCTAGGGATTCAAAAACAGAGTAACTGGATGATTTTGTTTTTTCTAAAAGTGTTTAAATTTATTAGCTACAGAAGGCTATGGCATGAAATGCTAAGCACTAGCTAGGCAGTTGATATCACCTCTGATTCAGATGTGTGCTAAGTGATACTCTGCTGGTCAGTAAATGACAAAAAGGGAAGACTTGCCTCATAATTCATGTGTCCTTTGCTTCCTCTTCTGCCTGAGAGGTTCATGGCATCTCGGGCCCAATTGTCTACCAACTTGTGCAGGTCATCTGTGAATGTGCCCTTCCTGCTGGATGTCATGGCAGGAGGCTGAGCTGGGGCAGCTTGGCTGTTCACTGTTCCCCCGACAGTGTTTGTGCTGCTGGTCCCTAAAATTAGAGGAAGCAACAGAATACAACCATTAAAAGGAGTTTGGGTTAGAACTTCAGGAAGAGGGAAAACTTCACAGGATGACAAATGGCAAGCCACTGAATGAGGAGAGGATAAGCTGAGAAGGCATGCAAGAAGGGAAAGTCCCATAGGTTTGTTTAGCCATGTTTGGGCAGGGCAGAGTAATGAAAACAGATTCTCTTTAGGAGCTGCGGATGAGGCTAAATAACTCCAAATAACTCCGGATAATGGTAGGGCACAAAGGGGAGGGACCTCTTTCAGCCCATTCACATGGTATCAGAGTACTGAAACTTACTTTCAGTACCCTATTCCCAGCATCACGTTGATGAAGGAGGTGCGTTAAGGTTATTGAGGCTCTAGACTGCTGCAGAATGCAGGGTAAAAGAGGATTTCTAGAGCCCCAAGGCAGGATTAAAAGTAGGAGTTAAAGGGATACAAAGGTAGATGCTTGGCCCAGAAAAGATGGGGTTCTGAAACCATGTGGATATTGTGCCACAGTCTTTAGCCATTCTTTAACAGAAAGAGGTGACAGGAGAGATAGCATGCTCTGTTCAAAACCTTTTTCACCTGGACCCATATACACAAATTTGTAAACATAAACTTGGGAGGAATGGAAGCTTCAACCTCTCCCAATTGCCTATGAGTTAAGAACCAAGATTACTCCTGAGGAAGGTTCTCTGTCGTATGCCTGAATCACTCAACTCCAGGAAGACATGGTTTTCCTGAAGATGACCTCAGTTTCAACTGGTTCGTGGATTCTCACTAACACATCCCTCACCCCCCAAAGAGCAAGCACTTGCATGTGGAAGCAACAGGAACATTCAGCTGAGGTAGAGCAAAAGGAAGGAGGAAGCTTTGAGGTTATGATGAAGGAATTTTATTTCTATGGTTTGATGAGAAAGGAAGAAGGGGTCTGTGTCCTGCCTGATTTCGGCTCTGCTGGAGGGCACACTGAAGATTATTCGAAGAGGCAAGTTTTAGGGAAGAGGGAAAGAAAAGTCATGATCTTGTTTTTCTTCCCTCACCCCCCACTTTCTTACCAGATCTCACATTTGCTGCAGAATAAATAAAAGCTTCTAAGATAAGTTGTCAGCCACTAGGCCTTCAGATATCTAAGTAATGCTCGGGGGCTAAATAAATGCATACATATTCCTGCTTTCCAGGTCCAAGCGGCACCAGAGCATAGCAGCATGCCCAAAGCAACTCTGCCATTTAAAAGCCCTTTATAATCCAATGCTGGTCTCAAGTCAAGTTTAAACCCCACCGCCCTGGGAAAGGCACACACAAGCATGTCTGTAGTAGAGTGAGCTAATTCTGAGCTGAAGCTGCAGAGTGAGGAAGGTCACATGCTTCTTACCCTCAAGGCAAGACATGGATCTACTACAGTGTATATTTAGCTCACTTTTTATGCCCACTGGAACCACGAGGGGTAGCTACTGCACATACAGCGTAAAGGAAGAGTAAGTTCCCCTAAGGTATGGGAAACCCAAGTGGAAAAGGATAAGAGCACAGGAAACAGCCTTCCTCGAAAAGCAAGAGAGACAGTGGTGGGGAAAGTACAGAGCAGGAAGTGCAAGCAATGAGTGTGGCAGTCATGATAGTGATAAAATCCAGAGAGCAAGCATATCACATGCATGAGGACTATTTTCCTGTTTGAATAATAATTGCTTGGAAAGCTTGATGATGAGTGAGACAATCAAAATGAAAACCGGAAACAATCACATGTGAGCAGAACTGTCAAAAGCCAAATACAAGAAGCTCGGTAGAGGCGAACACTGCTTATTCACAAAGAGCTCATGCTGGGAGTCACATCTCTCTAGTCTCCTGCTAGTCGCCTCTGATGCTGTGAGGCTCCTTTACAACCACATTTCATTTTTCATCTTTAATCTGTCTTACACACTACTGGATTCTCAAGTAGGGTTTATACACCCAAGGCGGCAGGGGTCAATCACATAGTTAACCTTCTTACTCTGGCTTCTGCAAACAGACTTTCCCATTAAAGAAGGAAACAAACACACTCCTCTCTGACTGGAAATTAACTGGGAAAAGGTGACTTGACTATGAAAGCTAGGAGAACAGATGGCACGTTTAGTCCACCTTAGTAGTAAATGGTTTAAGAACACTGCTTGTAAATGCAGATACTTCTGAGACTGCTGCTTGCCTTCCAGAGAGTTATACTGAATAATCTTGAAACCTTTCTGAGTTCTGCTGCAAAGCTCTAAGAGGTAGTGTTTTACTACCCCAAATCCATTTTTAAATTTTCTTCTGGCATAAGACATTTCCCTGACCCCACACCACCAGATCCTAGCCACAATACCTTACTCTGAGTCATACTCATTGCCCAGTATTGCAAATACATGTGTTTTCTGATTGGCCCTGTAGGGGGCCTGTTGGGCAGTTGAACTATCTGCACATTAAGAAGCCACCAGTCTAAGAACCCAACCTCTAGTAAGTAGTGTTTCTCTCTTCACCAACCTAGCAGACATCTCCCACTATGATGTGTGTATATGGACTTTTCTACATTTTGATCAGTGCTGATCTCCCAGCAGGTAGAAGAGTGGCCGGCACGTATCTGTTGACTAAAGAACTCTCCTCAAGGAGCCAGGCATCCCCAATCTCTCTATATATATCATGGGCATTATCAATCCATAATTGTCACAAAGCCAGGCTCACAGGGGGTCATCTTGTGAGAGAAGACTATGAGGTGATTTCTTAATCTGCCCGTAGTCAGCAATTAAGCATGTTGAAAAGTATCTTAGATAAGGGTGCAGAATTAGACAGATGGAAGTTGGGAATGAGGACGTTGTGAAGCTTCAGGGTTCCAAGAACTCATGGATAACAGGCTTTGCAATCAAGGACCAAAAGTAAGAGAATGAAAAGATAATTACTACAGAGCTGGTTGCAAGGACAGACTTTTTTCACCATCTTCCCTGAAGCACAAAGAGAGAGCAACATGTTAAAGATAAAGAAACATCAGTGTAAAATACTTAGAATCTCCAAACAGTACACAAAATCCCAGCAAGAGAAAGCAGAATGAGAGACAGACTGGTGGTACCCGGGAGCCGCTGCCATAGGTAAAGTTCTATGGGACATAGATCTTACTGGCTGTTAGCCTTCACATGGTTGTCTGATGGCTGACAGCGGAGCTTCCACATCCAATCTTTGTATTTAAGAGTGCTTGGCACTGAGGTTCTGGGGTCGGGGAGGAACTCCAACACAGTCTCTCAGGTCTTGCTGCTTGAATTTCAAATACTCAAGCAGTCTTTCCACTGACCCCGTCCCACTTTCTATTTCTCCTGCTGGGTTGTTATAAAGCACTTCATTAAATGCATTAGTAATTCTATTCCAGTAGACTGACAGGACCACTATTACAGTTTTGGGTATATTTAAATTGGCTAATATATTTCCAAATCTTAGATATACACACTAATCCCTTCCCCTCCAGAAAAATCCTTAAAAGTATGTGGAAAATTAGCAACTTTTAAACATAAATAAAGCATTAAGCCAAGCCGTGCTTCCAAACCAGAATCTATTTTGAGAGCACAGAATAACGCATCTAAAACTAGAAAGACCCCACGCCTGTTATGTATGTTTTCTCTTCCATATTTGCTTTAAATCTGCCTCTTGCAATTTGTTCACCAAGGCTTAAAAGATGTATAATCATCAAGTGGCTTCTCTTTTTAGACCCAAAAGGAAGTAAGATTTAATATCTCTAACATTTGATGTTACAAGTGTGCCACCACCTACATTTAAGAGTATGTGAGAATTTAATTAATTAATCTGAAGTGTAGCTCTCACGTTACGCTTCACAAAAAAGCCTTGGTTCTCTTTCTTCCCTCTCAGACATCTCAGGCTATATGATATAGGCCTGACATGTTATATACCACTTTACAACACTTGTCTCCTACGTGTCTTTTCACTTTGCCAGCTGGACATAGAAATTAAATGCTTATTTAAGTGTCAAGGTGCTAATAACATACCTGGTCCAGCCTGGTCTAACCTGTAAAGTTATCAATCTCAGTACCCAAAAACCACACATGCTTTGGAAAACTGCCACACTGGGTAACACCGTCCACCTCTTTTGTTTAAAAGTCCTGGGCTGGTGATATATGAGGCCCAAGAACCTCTGGACCATACTCAGAAACAATGATGACTTTTGCACATGCATTTAAAAAGCACTTCAATAACCACATCAGAAGTTTGAGGCCTCAACAAAGAAGGTCTTTAACCGAACTCTAACAGGTTTTCTACCTGAGCCTTATTTTTGTTTTTTTAATTTTTTATTTCAATATACATTTATTGACCATCTACTACGTGGCAGGCAGGCACTGAATAATTAGAAGGAAATGATGTGTGCTTCCCAATGCTGCCCGTGTCTGTGCACACCATCTTACTTGATTTGTACAAGAGCCCTAGGAGATAGGCATCATCTTCATTTCACATATGGGAAAGACAGGCTGGGGAAGTTGGGTGATCTGCCATTGTAACTTACTTTTAAGAAGAGAGCAGAGAAATCCTAGATATTATGTTAAAAAAGACCATTTTCATTGGCAGGTGCTGGGCTTTGGTCCTTAAAAAAATTAATGCTTAATCAGAGTAACTATACTGAAACCCTTTTTGAACTACCGATTTTATGGAGTTAGAGGGTGAGGGGGGAAGTGAAAGGATCCAATGAAGAGACTCTAACATCATTTCAACTGATAGGCTTAACTAAGAAGAAAAATAATTTCAATCTACTCTGAAAAAGAATACAAAATAGGGTGTAATTCTCCCCTGCTGCCAGGATCAAAGTACATCAGTGGTCAAGACGCTCTCTGTCACTTCTAATGCCAGAGACAAGGGGGGCGTACGTGACTATGGACTTCAGTCTTCATTTATTCCAAATGGCCCAGCAGTCTCTATAGCATAGTTCTCTTTTCTACTCTCTGTCACAGATCTATGAAGAAGAACTTCTACCAGAAAATTATTTTGAAGTTTATGGAAACTTAATTATTATCGCTATATTTTTTTATCATAATTAACAAAGAGACCCAAACTTCTGAGGTTAATAGTTCAGCCAAGCCACTGAGTAGATGATATACAAAGAGACAATGAAAATGGACTGCATGAAACATCAGATCCAAGCAGCAGAAAAACAAGGACAAGGAAGGAGTAAAGGTGTTACACACAAAGAGCCAAGCAGGGCGTACTCAGAAATCGGGTCCTCCTGCCACCAGGTTTGAATGTCACCTGCTCAGATGCACAGTTAAACTTCGCACAGCCTGTGAGAGGGGAAAAACAGGGAAGAACAGAGAGAGAAGAGACAGAACACAACTACAAGATGTTAGAAACTTGAGGCCGGAGTGGTGAAATGCGCTAAGATGGCACACAGAAGAACAAGTTTCCAGGAAAAGGTTAGATATCTAGGCCAGGAAATATCAGGTCTCAATTCCCACCCTCTGCCAAATGCTGAAGCTCTTCCCAGTGGGAATAATGCCAGCTAGCTTGCGGTCCTAGTGAACAAGTATACTCCTCTTATGAAGAGACAGTCTCATCTTTATTTTGTTAAAATTATTTTTATTTTATTTTTTTTAAGATTTTATTTGTTTATTCAGGAGGGACACAAGAGAGAGAGAGAGAGAGAGAGAGGCAGAGAGAGAAGCAGGCTCCATGCAGGTAGCCTGACGTGGGACTCGATCCCGGGTCTCCAGGGTCACACGCTGGGCTGAAGGTGGCGCTAAATCGCTGAGCCACCCATGCTGCCCTGATCTCATCTTTAATTTCCATGATATTGCTGCAAAAGCACCTATGCGAGTTACCTGTAACTTCTCTTACTCTTTTCCACCCAGATGATACCTAAGTCCTTCCAGTTCTCTTTCTACTATTGCTAGCAGCTCTTTGCTCGACAGGAAAGTTCTGAATGATCATTAGTAAATAAAACTATATTTAGGAAGTAGATTACAGATACTTGTATGGCTATTTATCTTAGTATGCTACTCCCATACTTAAAAGTTAAAAAAATCTGCACTGGCTAAGCAAATGTATTAGCTCTTCAGAAACTGCTACAACTCCTTCAATTTTGGTTCAGGAAATTTCAGTCTAGTATTAAAGCATATGTTCCAATCCCAAATGAGTTATTAATTTGATTAAAGTCCTCACATAAGTCACAAATGCAACTTTTTGCTGTAATCCTTTGAAAAAGGCAATTTCATCTGATAGAAGCAATGAACTCACCTAATCTAATCATTGCCCAACTGCCCCTTCCAGCTCAGAATCTGTAGGTATACAACAGATAGGTTGTGTTCTGGCCAGCTGGTTTTCCAACTGACCTTAACAACAGGTTACTCTTCAGGCTTTTGTGCCAGGTATGACAGCTTCTCCGTTTTAATGTTTTTAGAAGATGATGGTTGCTTTGATTGCTTACCTTGACCTGGAGCAGAAAGGCTTGGGACTGAAATGGCACCATCACTGGTAAAGGCTGAGTAGAGGTTGTCACTGGAGGGAGATGGCTTAAGGGGCTGTAACAGCTGATTTGGCCCAGTCTCAGGGATGTTGCCAGGAGGGTGGAGGGTCTGCTGAGCGTGCAAAACTGAAGCAGCACTCTGACCAGACAGGTTACCTGTCAAAAGATAAAGCGGCATGAAGAAACATGTACAGCTTTCCCAACACCCTAAACGGCACTATTCTTATTCCTATAATGTGTCCCATTAAGTGACTAATCACAGGTCAGAAGCTATAACTGATGAAAGAACAAAAAGCCTCCCTCATGGGAGGGGAAGTGAGAGAATCAACAGGCAACAGGGCTACAGATAGCTTTAGATATCCGAGATGGTACCCAAGTGTCATCTGGATAGAACATGAAGAGGGTATGACCGAATTCCACAATCGCTTTCCTAAACCCTATTATAAAACACTGAGTCAGAGCACAACATCAATAGGCTTGATGGGCAGTCTCTGCTTAGTCTTTATTCTTAGCATGTGTCAGATCAAGTAAAAAGTGGTGTCAAAACAGACACAAGTGACTACAGAGTAATGCAAATTTAAAATTTGTGGCAGGTGGCTTTGTGGCTTTTATTTTCTAATCAATTGTCTTTAAATTGACAAACATGTCTGTTTCCTACTAACTGGTGGAATAGAAGGCCACTCAAAAAGTCAAAATTGGGGTCAGGATCTAAATTAGCTGATATCCCTTATAATCACATTTCCACTACTGAATTGGTTCTAATGTGCTAGAGAAAAAGTTTGGGTTTCTGAAAGCTTCCAGAGAATGGAAAGCTGCTATGAAATTTGAACTGTTTTCCAACATATTTATATTAGATCTGGAGAGCAAATATGGGTACAAGCTTATTTCAGTTTTTTTTTTTTTTTTTTTACTTTTCAACTAATTTTTTTTTTAAAGATTTTATTTATTCATGAGAGATATAGAAGAGAGAGAGAGAGGCAGAGACAGAGGCAGAGGGAGAAGCAGGCTCCATGCAGGGAGCCCGATGTAGGACTTGATCCCAAGACCCCAGGATCATGGCCTGAGCCAAAGGCAGATGCTCAACCCCTGAGCTACCCAGGTGTCCCTACTTTTCAACTAATTATCTGTTAACATCACAATTTCACCAAAGGGTAAAAATTCTATCACAATTAAAATAGACAAACTATAGTTCATTATAAGATATTGTGATTTAACTATTTTTTTTATTACAACCACAAACAAGTTTTTTTCTTTCTTTTTTTTTTTTTTAAAGATTTTATTTATTTATTCATAGAGATGGGGGAGGGGGGCGGCAGAGGCACAGGCAGAGGGAGAAGCAGGCTCCATTCAGGGAGCCCGATGTGGGACTCGATCCAGGGTCCCCAGGATCAAACCCCGGGATGCAGGCAGCACTAAACCGCTGCGCCACCAGGGCTCCCCATTTTTTTATTTCAATATAGAAATAAAAACTTGAATCAAGAAAATTACTACCTGTGACATATATGAAATTTACATTCATCCTAGCTGCAATTATGAATAATTCATGCATTGAAAAGAAAAATCTACCTGAACTTTACTAAAATAGAGTACAGTTGCTTATCAGTTTGGTGAAATGTGAATTATATGAGTAACCAGGCATTGCTGCATTGTTTTTCCTTTAGAACAACTGTAAGTGGCTACCAGTAGAGAGTCACAATGGAATAAGGCATTGTACTCACCCAGTCTACTTTCACAGACTCAACAAAAGAGATACTATAAACATAGGGAGTAGAAAAGTCAAGGAAGCAAGAATATTAGGAAAGTCAAACTCCTTTGAAATTTAACAAAAACAATAAATGTTCATATGTTACATATAGAGTTGGAGACAGAAAAAGAAGATGGGACAGCTAAAGCTGACCTGGACCATGGCTTTTTACCTGAAAGCTGGGGACTTTTATTCCCCAAGGAACTGCTGCGACTAGACTTGCTGCCTTTGCTTTTAGTGGGTCGCCTTCTTCTCCCTGTAAGGGGGGCAGCTGGGGGGATAATGACAGCAGGGGGAACCTTTCCCAGTTTGGTATACAAAGATTCAATTTCATGCTTCTGGCGACTCTGCAGGTCTTGAATCTCTTTAAGATGTCTATGAAAGATAACCAAACATAATTCAAAAACATTATCAACATTTTTGTTCAAATGAGATTTAATAACATATTCTTTAACCTCCATATTTACTTATTTATTATTATTTATTTATTATTATTTATATATTTATTTATAATTATTATTTATTATCATATTATTTATTATTTATTTATTATTATTACTTATTTATTTAACCTCCATATTTACTTATTTATTTTTCCCCCAATATACTTAACCCAATTTCTACTATCTTGAAATTCTAGTTTGTCATCTCATATTGTTGGCCTCCATTACCCAAGCCAAATTCCAATCAGCTCCTAACCAACAACAGATAGTTGATGATGTGTTAGGAGAAAAGGTTTCCTGACTTTTGAGACTACACACAGGAGTACTGAATTTGCTACTCTGATCCAGTTTATCAACTATGATCTATAAAACCTGCCCACATAATCTACATCCCAGTGCCATTACTGGATTCATTTGGTAGACTAGTAAGTAGATTAATAATGATAAAGAATACTATTAACAAAAACAACCATATAATAACAAAAGGTAAAGAAGTAGAAATGCTATGGGTCCTTATAAGAGACCTAATGAGAACATTCAGATAACTAGCTTTTGCCTACCACTCTCTCTTGAAAAGAAATGACGTATAAGCATTTTGCTTGAAAAAACACTAATCTAGGCACCAGTAGCTAGGTCTTAATACAGTTCTGCCATTATTCTTTCATAGAAGAAAATATACTTACTTTTCTCGTAGTCTTCGTAGCTCTAATTTTAAATCTTCATCTTCAATATCTGACTCATTGTCACTACTCATGTAAGAGGAGTTGAATGAATTACTAAGGCTTTGACTTAGATTCTGGATAGGCAGGCTCTTTGAGCTCAGCTGATGGGGGGAGTGTGGACTACCTGAACCATCATCCACATCCCTGCTCAGGAAGGCGGCCTCCAGGTCAGAAGACGGTCCGTTCAGATGTGAAGGCTCTGACAGTTCAGGCTTTTCTTTCTTTGGTATCACAGCTGGAAGAACACCTTGTTCCAAATCCATAAAAGGAGGAGACGCTATTGGTCCCTCTTTCTTTGCCTCAATGAGCTTGTCTTCAGTTCTTGACACAGAGAAACGACCTACTTTGTTTGCTGTAGTTGTCACCTGAAAACGTCCAACCTTGGTAGACTGCCCAGTTTCTGACTTTGCTTCTGAGGCAGGAGTTTTGTGGGCACTATCTGGCATATCTGATGAGATGCCAGGGATGGTTATCCCATTAGGCTCTGTCTTCACCAGGGTACTTTCTGGACTACTACTTGATAGCACTGAGGACTCTGAAGTGCTGGATTCAAAATGAACAGACTTTCCATCTTCTAACTTATTTTTACCCTCCTTTTGAACATCATCCATTGCAACTGAAACCTGACAGAAAGAAACCAAAGTGAGATTAAAAAACAAAGTCCCCAATAATCAATTTTTTAAATGGACCCCCCTCAAAAAATTGAGGGGGGCCCGGCTGGCTCAGTCAGTAGAGCATGTGACTACTGATCTCAGGATTGTGAGTTTGAGCTCCACACTGGATGTAGAAATTACTAACAAAATCTTTTTAAAAAGTGCATTACTTTGTCTCCCAGTGAATAGGCTGAGTATGTCTTTACTTAAGTCCCTCTATTTTCACTGTGAAAATAAATGGAATACCATTATAGAGAACAATATATCTGTACTGAGATGTACACATTAGATATATAGATTCTCAGTGGCTGGCAAAGCTTACTAAGTAAATAATTGTTTTCATATCTCATGTTATACACAGGACTTAGATTTATGTCTTTGTGGAAATATAATTAACAAGGAATGGAATCTTTTTTTTTTTTTAAAGATTTTATTTATTTATTCATGAGAGACACACACAGAGAGAGGCAGAAGCAGGCTCCATGCAGGGAGCCCGACATGGGACTCGATCCCGGGTCTCCAGGATCATGCACTGGGCTGAAGGCGGCACTAAACCGCTAAGCCACCCAGGCTGCCCTAAGGAATGGAATCTTGAAGGTTGCTTGTGAATATAAAAACTACAAAGATTAAATCCAGTAAATGTTAAATGCCAGCTAAGCTTCAAGAATCAACACAACTAAATGGGACTATGAGGATCCACATCCTTATTCTAATTTGCCCATGTGTTATAAACTCAGCCCAGCTACAAACTCTCAGAACCTCAGTTTACAAACATCACCTACCAACCTCAACTCCCAGTGGTATCCTGAGAATAACTGGAAAGCAATTCTAAAAAGCAGTAAAAAAAAAAAAGAAAAAGAAAGAAAGAAAGAAAGAAAGAAAGAAAGAAAGAAAGAAAGAAAGAAAGAAAGAAAGAAAGAAAGAAAGAAAAAGAAAAATTCACTGGTTGGATCAGCTGGGAAAATATAATGATATGGTATCACACTTGATGCTCAGTAAGTAGTTTTACTTCAGAAATTAATCCTAAAAAATTATCCTAAACACGCAAAGTATTTGTACATACAAAAATGTTTCCTGTTACTTTACTATGTTGGAAAAATTAGAAACAATGTAATGACTAACGATAGGAGAATGAGTTAGGTAAATAAAAAAGATGGGGCGGGGGAGCCACAAAATATCATTCAAAGAAGCAGCAGGGTCAACTGTAGATACACCCATGGCATAGAAAAATCAATGGAAGGGAACACAACCCTATAAAGTAATCCTGGATGGGGAAGGGAGGTGGTGGGGATGGGCAGATAGTTCATTGTTTCTCTACTAAGTATTCTATATTTTCTTTGAGATGTGTTATTATTATTTTTTAAAGTTTACTTATCTACTTATTTTTAGTAATTTCTTTGTCCAAAGTGGGGCTCGAACTCATGACCCCAAGACTAAGGCACATGCTCTTCCGACTGAGCCAGCCAGGCACCGCAGCTTTTTTTTTTTTTTTTTGCATGTATTATTTTTAAGAGGGGAAAATGACAAAGAGCTATAAAAAAGAAATATATCATTAAATTGGCAATTACGTCCCAAAGGTAAGTAATAATTTTATTATATACCTATTTACCCCAAAGAGGAATTCACGGCAAGGAAAAGTGGTTGTCTTACCTGAAATCTTCCCATCTTAAAAACACCAGTTCCCGAAGTAGTTGCTAGGACAGGAACTTCTGTGATCTGAGAAACTGAAGTAAGTACATGGAGGAGAAAAAGAACTTAAATTAGCATTTCTGTTTAGCTAGCTTCTTTTCCCTTTGGCCAGAAATACAGCAAAATAAAACTATGTGTCAGGTGAGGAAAACTGTTCAAGGCAGGGAAAATTTCCTTACCTCCTCTTCCCCTTAAGTTTTGTCCAACAACGGAAAAGTTATTATTTACTTTCCTTACTAGATATCTCTAGTCTGAAATATTATATTGTTTGTGAAACACTGTCAAAATCTGAAAATTAACCCTTTACTTTTCCTTATACACATGTACAGCTGATACGGTATTATTTGGAGGAATAAAACAGCTTCACAGCTTAACTATAACATAAAAGAGATACTACAAAAACTATGGTTAACAGGCAGTAAGAATTCAATTACTCATTCTTTTTTTTTTTTTAATTTATTTTTAATGTGAAATTTCAGACACTCAATCTTCACCATTTTTTTTAATTTTTTTTTTATTTACTTATGATAGTCACAGAGAGAGAGAGAGAGGCAGAGACACAGGCAGAGGGAGAAGCAGGCTCCATGCACCGGGAGCCCGATGTGGGATTCGATCCCGTGTCTCCAGGATCGTGCCCCGGGCCAAAGGCAGGCGCCAAACCGCTGCGCCACCCAGGGATCCCCTCAATTACTCATTCTTTAACTCAAAGATAGCTATAAATAAATGAAGAGAAAGGATGAGATTTTACCAAGGACATTAAAGACCCATTTTTTTGTTTTTTAAAGATTCTATTCATTTGACAGAAAGAGAGAGAGAGCGAGAGAGAGAGAGAGAGAGAGAGAATGCACCCCTGCATGTGCAGGGGGAGCTGAAAGCAGAGGGAGAAGCAGGCTCTGTGAGGAGCAGGGAGCCTGATGCAGAGCTTTGATCCTAGGATCATGACCTGAGCCAAAGGTAAACCTTCAACTGACTGAGTCACCCAGGGGCCCTAAAGACCCATTTTAAAATGAAAATCAACTATGATAAATTGGTTTAGGCAATACTTAGGCAAAATCCTAAAACAGCAAGTACAGGTATCAGAATCACTGTTAAGTAGTTTTGAGCAAATTTAAAGCCACCTAGGTCCCCCTCTCTAGGGACAATCATTTGTTTGAAGTTTTTTTTTCTGGAGATAATGTAGACCTATACCAGCATTTTCTTTATTTTGCAAAACTAATAAGTTGTGTTATATATATACATATATATGTATATATTTAATATATATGTATAAATATAAAACACCGGTTTTGATTTTTTAAAAGATTTTATTTATTTGAGATAGAGTGTGAGCGAGCGAGCACAAGCAGGGGGAGGGGCAGAGGGAGAGGGAGAAGCAGGCTCTCCACAGAGCAGGGAGCCCGATGTGGGGCTTGATCCCAGGACCCCAGGATCATGCCCTGAGCTGAAGGCAGGTGCCCAACTGAGCCACCCAGGTGTCCCTGATTTTGATATTTTAACCATATATCTTAGAGATCATTCCATATTGATGTCTCATTCTTTTTAATGGCTGCACAGTATTTTGTTTGTCTGTACACTATATGTATGCAAAGGTAATGTAATTTAAGCAGACTTCTGCTGATGGACATCAAGTTTTTTAGAACTGGCTATTATAAAAGTGCTCTAAATATTTTCTTACAGATCTGTGGAATAAATACCTAAGAGTGGACATGCTAAACCATACCCATTTAAAACTCTGATAGATATTACTAAATCGATCTCCAAGGAGGTTGAGGCTATTAAACTTCTGAATTTACCAGTAAGAGGTAAGAAATGTTATCACTTAGTAGTCTTTTTTGTGATATGAATGCATCCCTCTAACCCAGTTTTTTATTATCTTTGGCATTTTTTTTTCCATGCAGAAAACTCATTAATGTCTATGCTGCTTTGGGGCTACAGTAGGAGATTCGAGTAATGGTGACAGACTATATGACCCACAAAGCCTGAAATGTATACTTTCTGGCCTTTTACAGAAAGTTTGTTGACCCTGCTTTCTACAGAAAAAGAAGAAAAGGATTCCTTTTATATTTTGTTACAGTACTATTTTTAGTATCATTTTCTATCTTTGGGCCATTTGTAATTTATTTTGGTTGAGGTTGGTGATCTATCTTTGCTTTTTTCCAGATGGCTGTCTAGTTGTCACAAAGCATTTACTGAAATATCCCAGCATTTTCTCACTGATTTGCAAGCCCATCTTTTTCATATTCTACATTCTCTTATAGTTTGTCCATTTCTAGACTTTCCTGGTCTGTTCCACTAATTTTCAAGTCACTCCTTTAAGAGAGAGCTTTGAAGTAAAATTTAGAATTTAATGAAGAGAGAAAGCTGAGCATTCCAGGTAATCTTATTAATAGTTACACAGGAGAAACTATATCTATGTAGGTGGTAGTGAGGAGAATGGATAAACTATAAAGAGGAAAAGTATTAAGCAAGTGCTCTAACAAAATCACGTTGAATAAGTACAGCTCACATTGAATTATATCCACCTTTGAACATAAATGGTTCTAAGGGAAAAGCTAACAGAAAATAAATGCTTTAAATTTCCTAGCTTTTGGGGGACCAGTGATGTGGTGAAAAGAGATTCACAACAAAACTTTAGAAAAGAAGTACTTAATGTGAATTTATGACCACATGCATGCTCATAAAAGTTCTCATTGTTGGTATGGATTATTTTTACAAAATTAAGTTGGAAATATACCTTTCTCAGGAGACTATATGTGTGATCATGCCAATTCTTTTTTTTTTTTAACACAATTCTAAAGACTCTAGAAATAGATAAAAATGTTTTTAAACTGATTAAAATCTTATATTTGTATTTCTACCATTCATGCTATTCAAGATTATCTAGTGTCACAAAATCCAAGTTAAGGTAAAATTTTTGGTAAGTATGCCTGAATTTCCTTATCTCTTTTAGTCAAGTATCTGACCCAGCTATAACAAAGGGTCTTATTATGAGAATCGACCTTTTGCATGCCCCTCTTGCAAAAAACAAAACAAAACAAAAAACCCAAAACAACGAACAAAACATAAAAGATTTATTAATTTGCTAATATGACATGTTCTAGATACTAGTATTGATGCTCCTCAATCATAAAATACATAAAAATGTTCCTTAGAATGGTCTCAAATACACCTACATTCTTAAGAAAGTCTTTCAAATGGTAACCTCTATATCGATTATGGAGAGGACTGGAAATGATAACATAAAAGAAGAATGCTTCTCACCATCTTTCTGAGGCTGTGCTCCTGCTTCTGTGACTGCTGTTGGAGCCACCACGGACACAGGCTGCAAAACACATACGCAAAGATACCACAAAATCTTTAGCTTCAGTTACTTTTGAAGTTTTGCCATGCTGCCTTCTCTCTTTTGCCCTTATAATGGCCAAATAAATGCAGTATATACATATGTGAAGAAACACTTATGTCCACAAGAGTTTTCTATTTTTTTCAGCATAAAAATAAGTCTGATGTAAAAAAGATTTTTAAAAGGAAGAAATTCTGAGCTGTTTCTATATTGCTTTCTTTACTTTCCTCATGGGATACTTGGATATTCATAGAAAAATAGTTTTAATCAGAACACTATTGTGTGACAAACTTAAAAGGAAGAAGTTAAAACTTTTAAAGTATAGCTTCCTCCAAAGCATAAATGCAAAATCCATAGGATTAATCTATGGTATAATTCTATGGTAAAACAAGAAAAGTATCTTTCAAAAAAATAAAAATAATCTTTTCCACAGTTACACCAAGGGGTCAGTTGTTAATCTTACATTATTCATGTGCCTTATTTCCGCTTGCTGGGACAAGCAAAGATTGAATTAATACTTTTAACTCGGTAGGTGTTAAACATATTAATAGGTTACAGTATGCTTTGAGAATATGATATATTAGAATTATGGAAAGACATCATCAAGATTTTCAAAACTTACACCAATTGTAGATGTCACCGCAATAGTCTCTGGACTAAGTGTTCTTCTCAACTGAGCATCAAGATCTTCCAGAGGTTGCTGGGACTGAACGAAAATAAGTACAATAAGGAGAGGTCTTTGGCATAGTCAGACCCACTATATATAGCTAATCTATACAGAATACTGTTTGGTGCTTTAGGTTAACACAACATAACATCTATTCACTGAGTATAAAACTCAATACACTAAATTTACATTGCCTGAATGATTTCTGTCAATTTCCCAAACCTTGGAGAAATTTAGTTAATGTTTTTATAGTTTTGAAGTCTTCTTACCTTCTATGTTTGATGTTACTTGAAGTGATAGAAAAATTTCATTTGTCCTCTCTTTAAAAAATTCTGTCCTCTGTTCTCTCTTTAAAACATTCTGATAACTGTATCAAGATCTACCAGTAGATTATTGTATCACATGTTCCCTCTTTTCCTTTTTAGTTTAGGTCCGTCTGACAACTTGACCTTATGAATTGCATTAATACATGCTGTCACTATCAAGGGATATTACTCTTTTCTTTAGGTCTTAATAATCTATACTTCTTATACCCTACAGATGACAGCAAGAAGGAACTGGAGGTTTGGACATTCCATCCTGTTAACCAGGTCTTAACTATCATCCACCCCAAGGCCATAACTTTTTACCTTTGAAACAGACCATAATTCCATATCTATCTTAGCTTCTGTCAACCTGTTCTTCTGCAGCCTTCATTTATACTTCTTCTATATGCAGGCATTATCCACTTACCCTCACCATCAACCACCCCTATCTTATTTGCTGTTTCTCATCTCATTTGCACCCTCTCAAAAGTCTGAATGGATTGTTTTTATTTTTAAAGAGAAAATAGGGGTAAAATCCCTAATTTACAGAGTTTCACAATGAATTTTTTCCAAAATTTAGTGGCTGATGGGAGTTCTTTTTGGAATTATTACTTTACTCTAGCAAGTTCTTAAAGTTATTATGTTCTACTGTACACCTGAGATTAAAGAAGTAGGGACAAGTTTAGACTTCTCAAGTTAGAAATTTATATTTTCCTTAGACACAATTTTAAAATAAAGCACACAACTGTAAAATCAAATCTTATCATGATTTAGTTTCATTGTTTACTGCTTTGTCTCAGGGCAGAAGCTTTTTTACAGTTATAATGAATTCATAATAAGTACTTTCCTTATGGGAATTCAATTAAATGTGTGGAGTGGTGGGGTATGGTGGGAAAGGGAAATGATAATTTAAATATTGCAGGCAGTTTTACCCTCTGGTCAGAACTGATCGTGACATAGGAAATTAACATTCATGTCACTGGTCTGAGCTGTGTGGGTTTTCTACTGAAGGATATAATACATATTTGTTCATGAAGCACGACCATCTATACATAAACCAATTACTTTTATTAGGTGATCAGTGAAAGAAATATCAAATATTCAAGAAAACACTGGTTGACTGAACTCACAGAAAAGGGGCATTATCAGTTATCAGGGTGGTATCTTTTCCTAAGGAACTTTCAAAGTTAATTTTGATTACTTATTTTTACTTCCACAATTGTTTAGAACCTAGTTCTCATTCCTTAGATGTAATTTTACTCTACAAAACTCTGAATGATAGGAGTTATATTTGTCCGGTAATAGGTAAACTTTGCTATTTTCTTCCTTCATAAAATATGAAAAAGTATTAATATTAAATGTTTTCTAGATGACTTGGAAGTAATAATAAAAACAAAAGAACTATGAAGCTTCTTACTTTAAGTAGGGCCTGGATAATTAGCTACACTGTTTTAATAGAAAGTTGTTACTAAGTCAAAACCAAAGAGGAGGCAGAAGCCAAGATCATGCAATGGAGAATTTAAATAAGTAAGCTTTGTGAAAGAAAAGTAAGGGTACAAAAAGACATCTGCCAAGTCTTAGGGCACCTGAGTTAGTGAAGGTCCTGGAAAAGGTGGCAGCTGCTCGCTGGGTGGAGTACCAGCTGGAAGTTCAGTACCCACTGGCAGCACCTGAGACAATGAAGGGAAATTCAAGTCCATGAGACACTGAGAGTACAGAATGCGTACTGGAGAGCAAATCAACTAATTCCAATGTAGAAATATAAGAGTAAAATATATACGTAAGACATGCTGTCACCTGGCTTATATTCTGGTATCTATCTTAAATAAAGGACATTATAACCATGATACTATTATAGGGGTTACTACTACATGGCAATAAAATAAATAGTAAAATTTAGTAAAAGGTTTTTCCCTAGGGAAAACAGAATCAAAGGCTGTCTGGACAGGAGAGGCCAAGTCCAGATATTCTTGAGCCACTGTTTTAGTACAGTATCATTAGGCTTTTCTGAGAAAACAGTATAGTTCAGAAATAACCAAGGGTCGGTCTGAGAACAAAAGTCACCAGAAATCTAGTACTATTAAGCAATTTGTACAAAGCCTCTACTGTTGCCCTACTATAAAAAAAAAAATTGCGATCAATGGCAAAGCAGAAAAGATGAGTGAAGCACAGAATATAGTAGGAAAAACACAGCCTTGTTATTTGGAGAAGATTTCAGAGACTAAAGATGGCAGAATGAGAGGAAATCCACCATTGCAGAATTAGAAAATACATTTTAGTTATTTTATTCCTAGGATTAGATTCTTTCTTCCTCTTTACAAAATTCATCACCAACTTTCAGTTTTATAAACCTCAAATTTTACATCTTGGAATCTAAGCAAAGCAGAAAATTTGCTTCATCCTCACTGAAACAAAGGCTGTTAACTGCTATATTACTATGTATAATTGCTAGCAGAGGCATTTAGCTTCCTTTTAGGATAAAGATTTCTTTAGCTGGTACCAATTATTAAGAAATGTCTATTTTACCTATCATACAACCTTAGAAAATCATGTAGTATAATCCTGCTATATTTCAAAAGAAAAAAGTATCTTGTGCTCAATATACATATATCCTAAAGTCATTTTCAATTTATTTAATAAATACAGAATGCTACTATATGCCAGGGTATCTTTATAACTGCATTTCTAATTTGCAAAGCTGAACTGAAAAAAATGCTCTTATGGGAGTGTGGGGGGGAGAATGATCATATTTATCAAATTATTTTAAAACGAGAATCTTACTGGAGCTTTAGTCAAAGGTGGCTTTGATGGAGCAGTTCCAGCTTTCACTCCTGATGTAGTGCTGACTGGGGCTGACACATAGCTGACTGGGGTAGAAACCTGCCCAGGCGTGACCACTGGTATAACTGACAAACCAGATGTTCCTAATTGCAAACTGGTTGGTGGTAAGCACGTACTCGTAGTAGATGTCATGAGCTTGTTTGGTGCAATAGCAGTGGTTGGGATACCTGGTGTGACAGTGGTCTCTACTACCAGTGAAGTCTCTAGTGAGACCGATGTATGCTGGGCTCCAGATGAGCTCGGTTCACTAAAGAGAGACCGCAGCTTTTCCTCTAGAGTCTTTATGTCATCAATTCCAGGAGCTTTGGGCTGTAAGTCAGCATCTACTTCAGGACAGTGAGTGTGGGGCTGGTTGGGAAGTAAAGCTGGTTGAGGCTGACTATGAATTAGTGTCTGCTGCACAGCAGGCACACTGGCAACAGGTTGTACCAAGGGTGGGATACTAAGTACTTGGGGCAATAAAGGTGTAGAAGTAGGTCCTGCTGTTTGAGGAAGGGCAGGAATAGAAGCCATAGCTGATGGGGTAACCAAAGGATGCACCCCACCAGGCTGAGAAATAGAACTAGATAATCCTGCTCCAGGGGAGGACGATGATGCAGACAGGGACAAAGCCAATCCAGTTGTACTGCTATGAGATGTTTTATCTAGTGAGTGTGCACTAACCACCACTGTTTCAGCTAGAGTTGGAGCAGAGGTGCTGCTGCTAAGCTGAAGAGATGGCTGTGAAGCTATGCTTGGGAACGGAGTGATGGCAGGAACGGATGTTAATGTGGCTGCCCCAGTAGTACTGCCTGCTGCCTGCTGTGATAGTACAGGTGGAGGCTTAGCACCTGGGACAGCAACACTGCCCACTGCAGAAGCTAAAGTTGTTGAAACTGGTATAGAAGGCAAAGTTCCTATGCTAGAAACAGTGCTCCCAGATGTGGGAGCTTGAACTGGCTGGGATGTTGCTGATATTGAGACAACTGTAGGTACTGTGATGCTTGAAACCATAGTGGAAAATATTGGTGATTCAGATATGGGTGGTACAGGGAGACCACTTGAAGGCATTACACTTGTGCAGGTGGGAACTCCACCAACCCCTGTTTCAGTGGGCACTGGAATCTCAGATTGAATTACTGATGTGGAAATGTCATTTAGAGGGCTGCTAGTTGCAGGCACTGATACTGAAGGTGTGGCTACTGCTGTGGTTGGGACTCCAGCAATGCTACTCATGGAAGGAGGAACAACTGGAAATGTTGGTCCTGTATGACTGAAGTTGGGAGGTGCTGTACTGGGCCCTTCTGTCATCTGCGTATGTCTAAGTTCAGAAAAGGCTTGCTGTAGGCTAAGGGATGAAGCAGAGTGAGACAAGTTCATTCCAGCGCTGTGAGAAGTAGAGGCAGCAACTGTAAAGGAAAATACAAAATTCAGAATCAGTCCATTTTATTTTATTTTATTGTAAAAGATTTTATTTATTTATTCATGAGACACACAGAAAGAGAGAGAGAGAGGCAGAGACATAGGCAGAGGGAGAAGCAGGCTCCATGCAGGAAGCCCAATGTGGGACTCGATCCCAGGACTCTGGGATCATGCTCTCAGCCAAAGGCAAATGCTCAACCACTGAGCCACCCAGGAATCTCAAGAATCAGTCCATTTTAAAAGGGTCGATTCAAAACAGTCCTAACAATCTATTTTTGGATTACCAATATTGCCACGTACCAACAAGGTTTAAAACTTCTCCTAAGGAAATGACAGGATCTAAAGCAGCAAAGTAAAAGAGCTGTTCGATCAAAATAAGTTAGCTTCTATGAGTATCTATTTCTAGGGGCAAAAAAAAATAGAAAGGAAAAAAGGGAAAAAAAAGTCACCACAAAACACCTACAATAGTCCTAAATAGAGAAACGAACACATACTATTGTAGGTATACAGTATCTATTACACAGGCTGCATCTAGTGCAGGTGTCTTTTCTGCCTCTTATCTTTTAGTCCCCTATTCATCATCTATTTCCCTCCCCCAATATTTATCTATTGATTATAATCTCAACTTTCTACTCTTCTTTACTGTCTATGTCATCATTTGAACTACTGTTTGATAACCAGCCTTCCAATATAGGAGAGATGCTGTAAGATTAATACAAGTTTGTGGTAGAAGCAATTTCTTACCTGTATCTGGTATTTCACTAGTGAAAACTTTTGATTCTCGTAATCGACTTTCTGGCACAGGACTCACTATAAACCGTCTTCCAGCAGAATGAACAACTTGAGTTAAAGAACTGGTAGGAATGCCTGGTAAAAAAAGAAACAAACCACTTAATTGTGTTACTTATATACTGTCACCAATATGAAGCTTCAAGATTTCATTATTAGTATTCAACTTCTTAGGTCAAAGGTAAAAGGAAACATGGAAAGAAAAGAAATTCACCTATTTGCTGTGGCATGGAAGACGCAGGAACTGGTTGTTTGAATTCTCCTTCCAATTTCTACAACAAACAAAAGTGATCAAATTCATTCTCAAACACAGTCTTTATCACTGAGCACAGCAAAAGGTCACGTGCAAAGAGAACGTAAATGTTTGATAATCTTAATCACAGATGTAATGTGGTATCACTGAACATTTTGCATGGCAGATTTAACACCACAGCAATATTTCAAGTAAACAAACTTCTCTATGGGGATAATGATCTTACTTGAGAACCTGTAAAGCCATAGTCATCCTTTCCCTGCAGACTCTCCAATCCCTGGTCACCCTCTGGTTCCACACTGACATCCTCACTGAGCATTTCATCAGCTTTTTCAATAATTTCTCGTACTTGATCCACAAAGGACTCTCTCTCCATTGCTAGAATAAAGTCATTGTTCACCTGTAAAAGAAATGTGATGTCAGTCTGATTAGTAGAGTGTTACTCATGTTTTAAGTTATTCCAATTACCACTTGTTCATGACTTTTGTCTGACAAATCTGCATACTACCTGTATCATTATTTATTTGATATGTAAATTAGTTCTTTAATACCCAGAATTGGACATGTCCTAGACAAAATATCTCTAAGTCACAGGTAATTCATATTGAAATAAACACATAACTATCAAAATAGATTACAAAATGCTGCACATTTTCGTAGGGCAGTAGATACTGAAAAAGTACTAAAGCAAAATCTGGAACTCCAAATGCAGACATACCATAATTGTTGCTATCTCCTCAGGATTGTCACCATCTAAATCAAATTTGAATGTAACCATTTTCCGATTATGAGTCTCTAGTTGACATTCTACTACTCGGTCTCCTTTATTTGAAACCTAAAAAGAAAAGGAACTTAATATTGCAGAAGCCATATTCAGCACTGTTACTGAATTTGAGAAAGTAATGCAGACGATCACTTGAACTTAAGCCTGCCTGGCGTTACCACTGTTCCTTGAAGATTTGTTGGTATTTTATCTCTTAAATTGGTAGCAAGAAAACGTTAAGAAAATATCGGCCTTTGTGCTACTTCCTCACCTTCCGCTGAAGAGTCTGGAAGGAATGTAATAAAGTATCCATTCTACAAATTAAAACTCTTTTTCTAGAAGGAAAATTATGCCTTACTATAAAAATATGGAATTTAATAATAATATTGGGGGATTAGAAAATTCCAAATTTTCATCAATACACCTGAGCCTTAGAAAATTTAAAGATTATTTATTTATTTGACAGAGAGAGAAAGAGTACACACATGTGCGCATGAGCATGAGCAGAGAGAGGGGAAAAGCAGACCCCTTAATGAGCAGGGAGCTGGATTCAGGATTCAATCCCAGGACTCCGGGATCATGAACTGAGCTGAAGGCAGAAGCTCAACCAGTTGAGCCACCCAGGCACCCGCCTTAGAAATAATTAAATGACATTAAGTAATTATATGAAACCCATAAGTTAGCAACACTTACATTTAAAATTCTTAATTTTGGACGCGAAGTCTTTTCATGACGAGAGCGACTTCTTACAGATTTTCGGTAATGTCGTTTTGTAGCTCTCCCTTCATGCCTTCCACTGGAGGACGGGACATTCTCATTGCCATCACTCATTCCTGAAGCAACATCTGAATGTGCACTTAAAAAAAAATAGTTCAGTGTTTAAAAATTTGATATTTTGAAGTTTTCTATCATCCTTCCCTATCAGTCAAGGTAGAACTTTACTTTTACATACCTGTCTATAGAGGAGACCAAAGTGGTAGGCTGTGCCTGTGCCACTAGAACTGGCTCTGGAGGAGCAACTTGAGAGACTCCCTGAGTGCTCTGTAAATAGAAAGGATGATGCAGATCTTGGCAGTAATATATTTTATCTATTATTCAGCATCTCCAAAAAGCTACTTTTTTTTTTCCTTTACCCCTCCACCCCCAAGTCCTAGAAGCACTAAATGTACTAGTAATTCCCAGTATTCAGCATCTAGAGACAGTGGTCTTAAAATTCCAAAGGAAGTCTCTAAAGCTAAATCTCATATAGACTGCATGGTGTGACGTCAGCCGACATAACTGCTACGTAGTGAGAAAGTACAACTTGCATGCAGCCAGCATCTTCCTAGAAGTGTGCAACAGGGCAGGCAGAGCAGAGTGCAAAGATGATTCAGATCTTTCTCCTAGTAGGGCAAAAATGATTATTGGGAGCACAGCAGGACAAGATACTTTCATGACTGCCAATGGCAAGAATTTGTGAAAGGATAAGAATAATGGCTAAAGTACTAGCTAGAGAAGTGAAGTGCTAATAGGGTTAATCTTCTCCAAGGCACACTCACTTCCCAACAGAACAGCCAGTGGCAACAAGGCCCCCACATTGGCATTTCATTCTGCTGGAAGAAAAAGTGATTTAGAAGTTAGTTTGAAAATAGTCTCCAAATGAGTTCTAAAACAGGGGAACCTTTGTTTCTTGTCATTTTTATCCCACTGTGTAGACGTTTTATATATAAACATGCAGTAATTCCATTTACCTCCAGAGCTGCTTGCTGGGAGGATGTAGTGGGGGCTTGTTGTGCTAAACTCACTGCTGGCTGGGACACTTGAACCTGTCCTCCTATACTGCCCACAGGAACCAAAAGGTTAGATTCCACAAAAGGCTGCACCACTGTAGGAAAGTAACCCGGTGTAGCCAGTGCTTCTGTGGGCATGGGAGGGGATAGGACTGTAGAAGGGATGCAAATAGAAGCCACGCTGGAAGAAGGAGCAATATTTGAATCTCCTGGGTACTGTGGTGGCAGTCGAGATGGAAAGCCCTGTGACAGAAATGAGGAAGGTGAGTTAGTGCAGCTTGGGTCATCAAATTAGCAAAACAGTAAGACATGCACACACACAAAAAAAAAACAAATGAAAAAAACAACCAGACAAAAACACCAAAAAAACCCCAAACCCCAACAAAAAAAAGAAAGTACACAGCAAAGAATAGTAGTAGCCCAATGTCTTTCTAATAATTTAAAAATGATTCTTGAAATGGTAGACTGGTTTCAAATTTAGGGGACAGGACTCTACAACTATAAATTGCTGAGTTTTCTCCTCTTGGAGAGTAAAGAGGAGGAATAAACATAATTCCTTTTAGAAAAATATGAACTTTCTAGCCAATCTTAAGTGGAAGAATGCAAAAATTCTTCAAGGTATCAGTCATTCTAATCATATGATGACAGGATAATCTAAGGCTTTTTATTGGTACCATGTTGGCTACTCTATTTATCCCACCTATAAAAAAAAAGTACCCTGATATACTCTATCATTAGCTATATTTAGCATTTAGTCAGCTTACATCAAATAGAGAGAAGCATCTTTCTCCTAAGAAGTATCTTGAGAAAAATGGAAATTTCTATCTTTTCTCTGAATTTTACTATATTAGCTTCCCTAGTTGAGACCAGCTACACCTTTATTATTGCTAAATATTCTGATATTCAACTATTAGGTTTTCAAGTCCTTTGATGGTCTACTATTAGAACCAAGCCCTCTGTCTAGTGTCTTCCTTTTTGCTAGCCAACACAATACCTGGTACAGAACATCTCCAGAGGGAAGTGGAACCTCAGCAGCTTGTCCAAGGTTAGCTGGTATTCCCATGGACTGAACTGCTGGTTGCAGGAGTTGTGGGTGAACCTGACTTGGCAGCTGAGTCACAGGCTGCAGAAGGGTTGGAAGCTGACTAGGAACCACAGTTGGTCCCCCTGGGATCGCAGCTGTTGTAGCAGATGAAGCCAAGGTGAGTAGAGGCTGATTAATGCCAGCTGCCATTGTAATGGGAAGGGATGAAAAACCTGTCTGGGGCGCAGACACATGAGGAGTTGATATGGGAATTTGAGAGACCGGGTACTGAGGGAGTAAGGAAGTAGAGAGTGGCTGTCCCACAGGGAGGAAATGAGCACCAGAGTGGACTGGAACAACTGAGGGTTGTGCCGCAACTGGGATCTGAGGTTCGCCTTGGATAGTTGGTACTGGCTGGGAAACTGGAAGCTGGTAAGGTAAAGAAAAACAAAACAGACAGACTTTAAAAAAAAAAAAAAAGGAAAAAAAAAGAGCAAGGCTGCCAAAAGCAAGAGTTATGTATTAGCCAAAAAGAAGGAAAATCCTCCCCAAACCTCCGCACACATTAGTGTGGGTTAGTGTGCCACAAGAGAACAGGAAAGTATAATAGGAGACAAAGAGGCTGACAGACTGGCTGTTTCAAATCTTTTGCTGTAAAAAATTCTGCTCATGCTTCATCATTTAACAATAGAAAGAGGACACTTTCATAGGCAAAGTCTGTTTCTTACAGTTTTATTTAGATTTATTTCACATATCCTAATCCTTTGGCATATGTGTTGTCACTACATCTATGACTGCTATTATAGTAGTTACTGGAATTCAAGTGAGTTCCTTCTCACTGGAGTTAGATTTCAGTTCATATTGCTTCTACAATTCTGAAGTCTCACATTGGCCTATGAAAGTAGGTATAAGTACCGTATTTTCACTGATTCCAGGATACAGTCATCCCTCTCTACAATCTGCTCTTTGTAACCTTTGTGAAACGGAGATGTATGTTACAATTAATGGTGTGCCAGTTCCTGGTTACTAAAATAACGGTGCATCTGATAATTACAGTATCTCAGATGCAATGAAATACGAGAGAAACAATACACTATGCCAAAATACAAGGACAACAAGTCCCAATGTTAAAGTTAAAAAAAAGTCATTCAGTAAAATATACCTTCCAAAGGGCACTTTTCAAGTGATTAGAAGGATGACTTAGAACAAACACCACTCCATATAAGGAGGTTTTATGACCTACATATGACCTACTATGAAGGAGGAAGCAATGCATAATCTACATGAAAAATACAGCAGAAATAAACATCTGCATTAAAGGGAATTAAAGCAATTAAAAAAAAATACAGCAGAGCTGTAAAACTAGAATGTTGGATAGAGCTGACGCAATTCTAGAAAATGTCCAGGTTCAAGTACCAAAGTACTGTTATTTAATCTACCAGTTCAAATGCCTGTTAAATGGACTTTAGACTGATAAACCTAAAAGTCAGTTTGGATTATGAATGCTGCTAATATGTACCTATTTACATTAACCAATGCGTGTGCACAAAAGGAACAATTGTCAATTCATTTCTGTGAATGAATTTCTGTGGTGAAAATAACCAACTTCAGTATTTCACTATTACAGAAGATAAAAACCTTCCATGAGAAAGTTATATGGAGATTCTTTTTTATCATCTATTTAGAAATTAAGAACGTACCTGTTTTCCAGCTGATATTTGAGGCAAGACCTGTGGAGCCTGAGACTGACTGACTGGTTGTGCAATAGTGGCCTCACTGGAGGCTGATGTCTGTGGAAGCGAATACTGCGCTGTCTGTTGTGGAGGGGCTGTCTGCTGTACTCCCTGCTGCTGAAAATAAAATAGAATAATTCAGTTTTATTTCAAATCATTAATCACATAGTTCTAAGGAAGTATATTTGCCTAAGGCCTTCTGTATCTGTAAATGACAGTATTAGGAATTAAGACATGCATAAACCCAGATTAATCAATTCCCTTTTACATTTACTTCTCTTTTTCCTCTGGTATTCTTCATGATGGTACAACCAAGAGCAATTAGCCAATGTTTCAAAATTTGAGTCACCACTGGTTCTTCGGCTATTATCCCTCTGACCCCAACAGGAGGTCATTCACAAACACCTTTAGATCACATACCCAAATAAATACTCCCTCCTCCAAAACTGCCCTCCCTATTTTTCCACCCTATTTCTTGGTATCACCTCTCGTTTTGGTCCTATATTAAACAAATCTAATCTCCTCCTTTATTTTTTTTAATCTCCTCCTTTAATCTCTTTCTCTTATTGTATTTTATCAACTGTATAATTAATTTCCTTGAAGAATAGCTCTGATTACAGCCACCAAATAGTGAGAAAAGCATTGAATGTGGAATTTTAGCTCTATCATTTGCTAGTTGTAATACTTTAGAGACTGCTCATTTTACTGCCAGAAAGGTATTTCCTTCTTTGAAAAGGACACTATCACTCAATTCAAAGCAGGGCAAAGGGAATAAGTGACATTTAGTAATCAACCATGTGCTAGGCATTTTTTAATTCTGCATTGGCTTTTATTTAATGAAAAAAGCTAATTTCAAATTTACATTAAGCTAAGCTGAATACAAAGTCTTAGTGACCATGTCTAGGCACTGTGGTATAATACACCTAAACTTAAAGCATGGAGCATAAATGTACTCTCAATACTATATTTTATAATAAATAAATGGCTCTCTCTAGCCTAACAAAAATCTGAACTTCATACCAGATCTTCAAAATTCTCTAATACCTATAATTTAAAATTCTTATTAATATAAAACAACAGCTGTTTATAATAAAAAATTTAACCAACCTATTGGAATATCAAGTTGAATGAAATAGCCTACCTCACACCAATTCTCCAGAGGCAACTACTATTAGTGGTTTGGTTATCATTTTTGCGATTTTTTTCCCTATATTTAAGTGGTCTTTTACAAAAAATGACATATTTGTTTTCTGAAACAAAAGCATGCCCATTTTGTAAATACCGTTCTCTAACATGCTATTTTCATATAATTTATCAAGGGCATCAATATCCTAATGATGAACATTTAAGCTGTTTTTTTGCTACTTAATGCTACAACCAGTAGCTTTTTACATATATCCCGGTCTATACAACTAATTAGTTACTGCTGGTAAAAAAGATAAGCTATTTGTTTATATCTGTGGGTATATATTAAAACAGATTTAATTGACATATAATGATTCAATATATGCACATATTGTGAAATGATCACCACGGTAAATCTAGTTAACATCCATCACGACACAGTTAAAATTTTTTTCTTGCAATGATAACATTTAAGATCTACTCTCTTAGTAACTTTCAAATACACAATACTATAGCAACTATAGTCACTATGCTATATACTGCATCCCTAGGACTTATTTATTTTTGTTTTATATATATTATGAACCTGGCCACCTTCATGAACATCCTAGATTTTGTTAGATGACAATCTGCAAATAATAGTTTTGCTCTCCTGATATTTTTATTTTTTTAAATATTTATTTATTCATGAGAGATACAGAGAGAGAGAGGCAGAGACATAGGCAGAGGGAGAAGCAGACTCCCTGCAGGGAGCCTGATGTGGGACTTGATCCCAGGACCCTAGGATCACAACCTGAACCAAAGCATATGCTCAACCACTGAGCCAAAAAGGTGCCTCTCTCCTGTTATATCTTACTTTGTTCTTATTGTATCAATTAAAATTACCTCCTCCAAAATGCTGAAACACAATGGTAGTCATGTTTGTTTAGAAATATTGTTCTGCATCTCTCAAACTCTTCCCACATAATAAACCAGTCTCCTTTACTCTTTACTGGAGCTATACTACGAAGGCTCTAGTTTTCTGGAACATAGCAAATACTTTCTCTGTAAGTTGTGTCTTGAGGTAGAATCTGCAGTAACAAGCATCATGAGTAATATTAGGACAGTTGTTGGGGAGCCTGAATGGTTCAGTTGGTTAAGTGTCCAACACTTGATTTCAGCTCAAGTCTTGATCTCAGGGTCATGGGATCAAGCCCCACAGTGGGATCTGCACTCAGCAGGGAGTCTCCTTGAGATTCTCTCTTTCTCAAATAAATCTTTAAAAAAATTAGGACAGCTGGGATTTTTGTGCTTTTGTATTAACAGGTTTATATTTGTGTGATCTTTGTATTAACTCCTTACAGTGATCTTTAAACAAATTGTTTACAATAACATACAGAACCTGGAATAGTTAAGTCGTTTTCCTAAGAATAAGGACCAAATCTATGTTTAACTTCCTATCTTTTATTTTAAAAGCAACTCGGTCAGATATGCTCTATAAACATTTCCAACTACATATACTACTTTAAGGTCCTTATAGGCACATGTGTTTTCACCAGTTCTGTTTTATTCCATTAACATCTTTTTGGTTATTTCAAAATAAAGGAAGTGAAAGTCTGTAATATGGAAATATTATAAAGGTTTAAATTTATGTTGATTTCCTTCTTTACTGAGGGAAAGAGGAAAATTTGAGGAAAAAATCCCTACCTTATATATGGGCATATGATTACCTCTCACTCACCCCTATTAATGCAGAACTATGCTTACATCTAAATTTGCCCTCAACCAGCTCTTCTACGAACCTATACATTCATTATTTGTATTCTAGCTAAACTGAACTACAGGTGTTTCTGTCTCACGTTTTCCTACCTTTGTGCTTTTACCTCCACTTTCCTTTTGGCCTAGAATATTCTTTATTCTTACATCTGAGTCTAACTCAGATTCCAGTCCAAATGCTCTTTCATAAAGCCTTCCTGATATTCCCTGCGCCCTCCCCGCCCCCCCGCTTGAAGGTGATGTTAATTTCTCTCCTTTCATGGCATAATTGGCATGTAGTTAACTGATGAGTTGTGGAGTAAGACAACTGGATTTAAATTCTGTTTCTACCTCTTCTAAGTTGTGTAAGCTTGGTTAAGTTACTTAGGTTTTCCAGATCTCATCTCAGCCTTCCCATCTGTACAATGAAAATGACGGTATACATACAGGGTTCATATAAGAATTAAATAAAAATACAGGTAAAGTGCTTTGCACATTGTATGAAATCTTAATTATGCTTATTTGTTTTGTAGGAGTTGACAGATATGTTTAGATTATTTAGGATCCTTTGAAAGTAGTCCTATCTGGTCCATCTTGATAGACCCTCAGTGCCTACCTAGCACATAGTCCTTAGGAACATGAACTCAATTATGAAAAAAATCTGTTTAATTGGTGTGTGTGTGTGTGTGTGAGAGAGAGAGAGAGAGAGAGCGAGCTGTCAAGAAACAAGTTTTTAGACATATACCATCACTTTGTGCTTAACATATGAATGAGAAGCACGTATACCAATTATACCTTAAGAGTATTTAGGGAAAAGTGGCACCTCTGGGTAGGCCAGGAGAATATGGTGATCTTTTTGTGCACAATCCTACTGGCTAACACTCAGTGCTTCAGCCAAACAAGTATTGTGTGTAGCAACTTGAAATCATGGTTTTTTATTAACTTGCCTCATGAAACCAGTTCAAATAGCCTATATGGACTACGTACTATCTGTTGGACAAGGAATGGTGCTTGATGAAAAAATGTTCATGAGCCTCAGTTGAACAGAAAGCGAAATACCTGAAGATTCTACATGGTCCTATGAAGAAATTAAGTAAGCTGGGTTATGGCCTATATGGCGTATGGCAAAGAACATTCTAAGTTTTCTAGTAGAAGGAAGGTATTTTTGGTACATTAAGATACAGCATACCACTAGAAGGGACTCTTGATAAAAACATGAAAAAAGCAATCCCTTATTGGTTACATTCCAGAAACCATGAAATAAAGTACATTTTAGCTAAAGTATATTTCTTTCCTCATTCTAGTAAAACCAGAGATACAGTTTCCTAAGATGGGGCTGGAAACTGATAGCATGTAAAGTGAAACTCACATCTAAAAAACTCCACCTATATAGTAAAGAGGGTTCAAAACCTTTAAAAAAAAAATACATGAAACCGCAGATCCCTGGGTGACTCAGTGGTTTAGCGCCTGCCTTCAGACCAGGGCATGATCCTGAAGTCCCGGGATTGAGTCCCACATCAGGCTCCCTGCATGGAGCCTGCTTCTCCCTCTGTGTCTCTGCCTTCCCCATGTCTCTCATGAAAAAATAAATAAAATCTTAAAAAAAAATACATGAAACCCCAGTAGCTGAAGCCAATAAATGCAGCTTCTTAAGCACATCTGCAGAATCAGAAGTCCCTGATATAGAAGAACCTTAATATAGAAAAAAACCCCTCAATATTCTAGAAATGTTGAATTCTGACTTGTAATTTTTAGTTCTATTCATTTACTGGCTATGTAACCCTGAAAAAGTTAAGTATTCTAGACTATATACACTTACATAAACTGAGGGCTCTGTTTTATGATTCTACGTAACTTAAATACCATTCTATATTTAAAACAATTCACAAAATAAAACTATCTTAAAAAAAGCATCACTGACACACAAATTTTTTAGTATGACAATAGCCATATTTAGCTACATTTTTTTCCCCCAGGAGAGTCAACTACCTGATTCTTTTAACCTGACATTTAAAGAATTGCCCTCCTTTACCCCCACATATTTTTCTTATCAATGACCTGAATGGCTTCACTATCTTCATTTGTTCATAAATGCCCACATATAAGATATATGAAAAATTCCTTTGGAAAAGGAAAAACAGTGCACACACTTAAATTTGCTCAGTTTATTGGTGTGGGCCTCTGTCCAAAGACACAGGAGAGTGGTATCCATTATAGTCCTTCTGTCCTCAAATATCTTTATGTACTTTTTAATTTGTACTTTTTTTTTTAAAGCAAGCTTCCTGCCTACCATGGAATCCAATGTAGGGCTTGAACTCATGAGACCCTGAGATCCAGACCTAATTGAGGTCAAGAGTCAGATGCTTAACAGAATGAACCACCCAGGTGTCCCATAATTTGTATCCTTATTAGGGATTGTTACTATAATTAAAATAGAATTTGTTAAGTTTGGCAAAAATATGACTACTCAAATTTATAATTATATACAGATTCTGCTGCTTTTCTGAAAGAAAGGACAGAAGCAAGACAAAGCAAATTCTGTGACAGGGCTGTTGGTCACCAAATAAATGTACATATGACCAAACTAATTTTGAACAAGGAACATCTAATCTTAAACTAGTATCAAATGACTGTATGAACATGCTGGAGAAGAAGACCATTTGTAATAAGAACTAAAAGTTTTGTTTAAAAAATTAATAGAAACAGAAACCAATTTATGATTTGGTGGTTGGAAAACACATGTCATAGGGAACTATCAATGAAATAGTTCATCAGAAAGTTTTTAGGACATATGTAGTGTCACATATAAATTTTATTGAAACAGTTAATAAATATTTGATAGTGCCAAAAAAACCCACTTATTCCTATGCAAATAATTGCTATTAACTAATATCAGTAAATGAACTACAGATATTTAATTTTAGAATTAGTAGTTTTGCTATTGAATACATCAACACTGTACTAATAATCTTTTTAGCTCCTTGAACGTTGGGGGCTTAAGCTCCTCAAATCAAGTTTAAAAAAACGTTTAAGGGGCAGCCTGGGTGGCTCAGTGGTTCAGCGCTGCCTTCAGCCCAAGGCCTGATCCTGGGGACCCAGGATCAAGTCCCATGTCAGGCTCCCTGCATGGAGCCTGCTTCTCCCTCTGCCTGTGTCTCTCTGCCTCTCTCTCTTTCTCTGTGTCTCTCATGAATAAATAAAATCTTAAACAAAAAAACAAAACAAAACAAAACAAAAAAAAACGTTTAAGAAGTTCCTAAAGTAGCTGTTCAGTTTCTTTTAGCGTAAAATCTGATATTCCACTCCACAAATTATAAATAATTAAGTTGTTTGGTATTAATAGAGTTAAATACAATGAAGGCAATGGCAAAATGCTCATAAAAGAATAAGTCACAAATATAAAAACGAAACTGACATTCTTTGTATTGTTAAATTATGTGTAGAATCATCTATTTCAGAAGGCAGATGAATAATGTTATAAGTTAACAATGATTCTTTTGAATTTCATTATGTCTAACTTTAATAGTTTAAAAATACATTAAAAGACTTTCTAGAATGCTACTAAACACAAGAAATGTTATGCCTCTTGATTTTTCTTTCAAAAACATAGCAAGCCTATTTATATCAGGAATCTAATTCATGAAAAGACGTTAAACGGTGTTTGGCTACTGTTAATCCATAAAATGTAGCAATGAGTTGTTCTCACCTGCTGAGAATGTTGTATGGGGAGGGAAGATGGAATCCCTGTTAAGCTACTTGAGGATGGCTGACCCTGGCTTTGCCCCTGTGCATGATGAAAAGAAGTGAATACAACAAATTAGCAAAGCCCCAGATAAGTATATAGAAAGGTCAGGCTTTTGTAATAAATATTTAAACTCCTGCGACTTTGCCTAAGCAAAATAAAACATTAGTTTGATTGTATGGGAGAGATCACTGAGGTATCTTTTGTAAGAAAAGGTTGGAGGATTATATCACAGAACATATCCTGATTCCACGCAAAAACCACTCATGGTTAAAACTACTACTGCTATGCTCTGGCTATAATTTTAGCTATTCAAAATACTAAGATTCATAATAAAATTCTTACTGAAAATATAATAATCAGGAAAATAGTAGTACAATTACTGATGTGAAAAACTCCTATATCTGAACAATTAAAGACAAAAGGGTATTTGATAGTGCTAATTTGGTTCCTTTTGCTACTTCTTCTAGTGCCATGGTGACTTTTACCAAAAATGTAAAAAAGTCTGTTATCATCACTGACCTAGAGCAACAGTTGTCAAAACTAGAAGTGATTTTGCCCTCCCAGGGATCATTTAGTTGTCACAACTGGGGGAAGTGGCTGCTACAGGCATCTAGTGATTAGAAGCCAAGGATGCTGCTAATCCTACAATGCACAGAACCATGACCCACAACAAAGAATTTGTCCAACCTAAAACATCAACAGTGATGAATTTGAGAAACCTTGACCTAGAAGTCACCTAAGTTAAGATAAATGAGAAGGTAAAAAATGAATACAGGATTTTATACAGTAAATTAAGGAAATGAAAATGCCCACTTTTGGTGTTCCATTTCAGTTTCTTTGAAGCTTACTTGGATTTGATACCACATTCTACTCCATCTTAACCTTGTTTAAAGAATAAAAATTTACATAGTATGCATTCTTCGGGCAGTATGTCTATAAATTAACCACCTGATATTTTACTTTGAAAAGCTTAAAGAATGGCTGGCAGTGCAGTAAGATTTATAGTATAGGCTAACAACTAGTACATTAATGTGAGTACACTGCATGCCCATGAAGCATAATTTTCAAGTTTCTGGATCTTTTTGCTTCTTAGAACTATTCTAAATAATTGATACTTTATGTATACTTTTGGAGTTGTTTACGCCCCTGAGGGAAAAACATAGGAAACAAGTATTAAGAACATGTGATACTTTATAAGAATGGAATATTAAGAAGATCCAAATGATGCCCTGAAAATATAATTGGAAAGTCTCCTATACAGATTTTATGTAAGACTTATACATGGATAAATATATGATAAAATATACAGAATATATCAAATAGTTAATACTGACTCCACTTGTTGAATTCTATTATGTCCATTACTTTGTTTTTACTCACAAGGGAGTACATATGTCCATATGTATACATAAAATTTAATTTATTGAGGAAAGAACCAAGGCCTGAGATACCTGTTTTTTAGTTTGCAACATATATCACAAATTCTTAAAAAAAAAAAAACAACAAAGCAAAAAATCCACCACCCACACTAGATTATAACATTGTTGCTAAAAATTAGAATCAATTTTATGGTTAACATTTGGACATATAATACAAAGTGACTTGTTCAAATGATGCCATTTTAAAATGCATTTTCATTTTTTCCTAAATTCTTAAGATGTTTCCTTTCTCTTTTAAGATTCTTCCACGTTAATGAAAATTTTGGGTATTCTTAATACTCTTTAAAATTTTTTTCCTATTTTCCATTCTTTTCATTTTACAGAAAAAATATTATCATTTCTGTTTTTTAAAAAAACTAGTCCTGTTTGTTTCTAGGGAGAAATACTTCACATTAGCATTTATAAATAGTCAATGCTGAGTCAACTTTACATTACAGACATTTACCATTTACATTTTCACTACAAGTTGAAATTATTCTACATACAGATAGAAGTAACTGATTTTGATGAGGGACTAAGATTCTAGTTTTTGTGTTCTCTTTTTCAAGGGTTTGCACATATTATAGGTAAATGAGGCAGCTTCTCTCTTGTATTTTGTTCTTATATACAAGTAGTTTGTAATCCCCCCAAAGGAGAAACTCTACTAATAAAAGTAAAAATAATCCTTATAAATGTAAAGGAGTGATAAAAAACTTAAAAGTAATGATGCACAGTAGGGTAGTTTAAAAGAATTGTGGAAGTTTTCCTATAACCTGTGGATGGAGTGCAGATCCTCCTGAAGAAAATGAGGCAGATAAAACCTGCTGAGATGTGGTTCCTTGGGGGAAACAGAAGAAAAGTGGGGATTCTTGTAACACTGTCTGAGGCAGATGGATAAAGGGTAATGAGACGTCAGAGCCAAATGGTGCAGCTGCTCCCCCTGTAGGGGGAGGTGATTGAAAATCACTGGGGTCTGAAGAAGTAATTTGTGAGGAATCACTGGAGTATTCTGGGCTTCCTATTGGCCAGGTCTGTCCGATAGACTCTACCACAGAAATGGTCAATTCTGGGGCATGGTAATTACGCTGTTCTTCAGTCACAGGCTGTAGGCGGCTGTGTAATCCAACTGATTGAGGAGGTGGTTCTTCCTGTTTCAAGTCCACTGCAACCTGCCGATTTCGGTAAACACGCTGAGGTAAAATTCCTCCTCCTTCTCCTGAAGAGGAGCTTGGAGTGTGAACATGAAACTCAAATACACAATTGCTTCTGCTCTCATGGTTATGAGTTAACACAGCAGGCGCAGAATGAGGAACAAAGACAGGGTGAAATTTCAAACATGTAGCATCTGTACTGATAGGTGCAGAAATACTAGAGAGGGGAGATCCTGGACTCAATCCAGAACCTAACCTTAGATTTTGAAGGTGTCCTACCAGGAAAGCCTGTCCAGATGGAAATTCAAAGACAGAACTTGAAGTAGGGCCCCCTTGTACTGGCTTCTGTTCAGGTATCTGTTTCATAGGACTTGACGGTACTGGTGAGTTGTATGGAATACCCTCATACTGTTCTGTCACCTGGGCCTGGTAAGCTAAATACATTGCTTCCTGAGGAATAAAATAGTGAGCTTCTTCTGGAAGTACCAGTCCAGGTCTATAGTCACTGTGAACTTCAGTTGGTTCAAACATAGGATGGACCTGTATCTCACATGGCTCTCCAGTTATTCTACTGGCTGTAGTGCCCAACATAACTACAGCCTCTGGTGTCCAGTTAGTTGGGCTGCCACCAGGTGGAAGAAGATTTTGGCCAACAGTCCTCAGCAGGGGTTGGAAGTGGCGAGTTTGGGCTTCCAAGAAGGAGGTGCTCTTACGTCGCTGGGAAATGGCCACCTTCGGTGGACAGGTGGGAGGTGGTGAAAAAGAAACTGGACGTTCATGAATAGTTGGGAAAAATATCTGTGATTCTGGGTATGTTGGGGTCCCCCCACACGGATGCGCCATGGACTGAGGCTGTATCAACATGAATAAGACAAGTAATTCATACATTCATATGTGAAATTACATTAGACATGCAAAACTGGGTAGCTTTGTGTAACACTATGAAATGGTTACACCAAATTTATAATTAAGAAATAACAATGCTTTTGTTATTATAAAATTATGTGCATAGTAAAAATCCATTAAATACATCCAGGGTCAATAAGTTATTCTGTGGGACTTTTTGCATTAGATAAGAGCTACTTTTCCACAACAATCTTTCTGAAAGGAGATGGAAGAATTTAAGTGTCTGTTCTGTTTTTACCTCCAATAAATATGCTCACTCTTAAGATTTAATATAAATTACATCAGTGGAAAAAGAGTTAAAATAATAAGGGAAGACAACATGACAATATAAGCCCAGCATTTTAAAAACGTAAGATGCTTCAATTAAAGCTGCAATACAAAGTTTTCCTATACTGTCTTATCCTGTGCTGTATCAGAGGCTCCGTATTATTTTTCTTATCAACTAATATATGCCTTCTAACTAGAAATCAAAAGAGCTATTTTTTGTGGACAGAAAAAAAACACTACTGACTGCTGACAGTAATGTCCTTCATCCATCAATCCCAAACTGATGCAGTTAATTTTACTATATGAGACATGTTACAGATGCCACATCACTGAATGTCCACTTTTCTGATCCTAGTTAAGAGTTGAATAATTTGGTGTTCAAATCAAGTGAAAAGGATAAAATAATAACACTGACTTAACAGCACTTTTTGTTGTGGCAGAGGCAGTTCTAGGCATAAGACTCTACCTTGCCAAATGCAAAGTGTACACTGTAATAATGCACTTTCATGAACTCTTTTTAAAAATAATAGATTGGTCTCATTCTTTCAGTAGGGATGGTCCCCATCAAGTTAATAAAATGGCTCAACTGTTACTTCTTCATAACAGCTAAAAGAGCACCTCTATTTCAAAGCAGAATGCTCCATTTTACTGTTTATTCAAGGAGTATCCCAAAGCCATTATATACTATATGGTTAATCATTATCCTAAGTAAAAATTTGAAGATTTTGGTATCGCTAAACTGGAACGTTAACTATATTCTCTCTCTGGAAAAGCAGCAGCAAGGTCCTACAGTGTTTAACATAACTTTAAAAGACAGATTTTTTTTATGGATATAAGTGGGGCCAAAGGAAATCTTATGCACTATATGTGTATCTAATGTATTCATTAGGGTCAAGATTCAACCTTATTCAATATCAGAGAAAAATTTTCACAAGGGAACATGAGAGGCCTTTTAGTTATCAATACACTTTTTTAAACAGCTAATAAACTAAAACCAACTTTCTCTCTTCAATTACTCTTCACTATGGGGAAAAATGGGACTAATCCAGCTTCATGAATGTCTCTTTAGAATAAAGTGAAGAGAAAATATACTTGGGTTAATTTTTGATAAAGAGAAAATTTGCTTTTGATTAAGCCAATGAATTTAAAAATGAAGTAATACATATTCATTATTAATGTATGAAAATACAAGGATCTGTATAGGTCATTGGGATAGAAGAATATAATAGAAGCTAAATTTTATTGTGTACATATTGTGCCCAGAAATTTATGAGCATTCTCTCTCTACCTCCTTGCTTTTTTAATTTTCTCCCCCTTAAAGTTTTATAACAAAAAGTTTCCTATAGGAAGAACTGGTACCCTAAAAGCATAATATATTACATAATATATACATAATATATTACGTAATATATTATGTAATCCTTTTATTTAATTTTTATGAAAATTCTTGATGCCTGGATGTATTCACTGGCAATAAATTTTCATTTGTCAGGAAGTTTATGGTTACATACAGTACTGACAAAGAGGGAAGGCAGGCTGGAGCGTCGGTGCTTGCGCTGACAGGCAGAGTGCATAGGCAGGACACTCTCCAATGCTTTAGAAAGCTTTTCGGCAAAAGTTTCCTCAGGGGCAATCCGAAGGAGGGAAGGAGAAAGAGGTGCAGACAGCACTGGTGGTGGGGTGGAAGGAGCACTGGGAGAGATGCGGGACAGAGAGGGAACAGCAGAAAGATGGGGAACGCAAACTGACATGCTACGGCCACGACGAGGCTAAACAGAAAACAAACACACACATGAAAACACAGTACTGTGAACACAAAATAACCAAATGTACAATGAAAACAGGGCATAGCTGACAAAGTATTCCATCCTCCCTCAATCCCACAAATTCAATTTTTTTGAGGATAGGTATAATTCCACAAAGCAAATCTGGTAGATCATAACTATTCTCTCTATACCATTGGTCAAGTACAGGTTTTTTTTATAAACTATGAAAATGATCAATTCTCTTCCTAAATATCCTAAAATAACATTAATTGTTATTAATGTATGAATAAGAATGGCCGACTGAGATAGTATAATAGGGAAAACAATGAACACTGGCTTGCAGTTTTCTCCAAACTTATTAAGATTAAACAAGAATGAATTCTATTAGTTTAATGTACATTATAAGGTGTAGATTTTAAGACTCGAATAGTTTGCAGGAATTCTGGAAACCTCAAAAAAGGTTTCTCAATTCTATTTTAGAAGACATCAGACTAAAAAAAGTTTGTTGGCTCAGAGTATTTTATTTATTACACTTCCTATCTTTATAAAGGGTAGAAAGTCATTTTCTAGTAGGAAAAGCATTAGATTTCTAGAGTTAATTCACGATATAGATACATTCTGCAGTTTTACTAAAGTAGTCAATGGAAAAACATCTTAAATGTGAATCTCTAAAGAGTAACTAACAATTTTCCAACATATCAGAGATTCAACCTAAGTTTATAAAGTTTGAGGTGTCTTAACATAAAAATTTTAATATAGCTAGAAAGCAGTACACCTAATACTGTAGTAAGGTTGTCTTGAGCAAGTTCGTTACTTCCTTTTAGGTATTGTGAACTGTGTTGCTAATTATATTTTCTTTTCCAAAATTGGCTGCAGAGAATACACTGAACCAAATTTGTGGCCTACCAGTAGCAAGTAAGAGATCATCATACTTATCATACTTAGTTCATTCCTAGTTCTATTTTTCTCCACCCTTGTTTCTTTTTTACCCTAATTTTTTTATTCCATATTGATACATTGTTGTAAGCCATAATAAATTCTTTCTGTGCTAAGAAAGAAACAGAATCATAAAATTAAAAAAAATCCTCAATATTTAGTAACCCTTCATGCTACCTCTACAGAATACTGTCATTAAAAGGCAAGACCGTCAGTAACAGTCTGCTTTTAGAGCATCAACCAATACAGCTATGTTTGCGGCTCAAATATTTAAAATCTTCATAAATGATCATTCTGTTTCCTTCTCTCAATAGAGACACCTAATGTTCATTACCCTGTGATGCAGGAAGCCAAGATATTAAAAATAGTTTTAAAAAATCTAGTTATTATGATCCACAAAAAAATCAATGTAAACAATAGAAATGAACATGAAATGCTGACAAAAAATATATATCAGAACAAAGAAACATCTACATAGCCTTCATAAATTCTTCTACCTTAATGATTTTAAATGTCAGAAAAGTAGACTGTTAAAACAGTGTATTAGTAGTTTATGTTACTGTGGCCATTCATCTTGAGACCTAGCCACTGCAGGACTGATGAATGGACTCTGAAACAATACAAACATCTTTTATTCCAAGTTGTAGGATAAAAGAACAGAGCAAGCAGAAGTATTTTCTTAAAGAGAGAAAGATTTTCATTTAATGCAGAGCAGAAGTTCCACAAAATTCAGATTTAAAAGCTTTCTGCGAAAGAGAAAATATGTCTAAAGATCTCACTAAACAAGTGCTATACAGTGTCCAGTTGTTCTCCAATTCTTCCCTGAGGCAGATGATGTCCTTTATTTACCTCTGAAGACTTCACGCAGGGCCAAAAAAAGAAATGAGGTATTACCTGATGATCTATTTTAACATTTTCTCTATGAGAAGAGTGGCTAATGTAAAACAGGGGCTGTGTCTGTATGTCTATATAAATGCATAAAATATTTCAGGAAATAATCTCCATAAATTGATTCTGAAAATAAATCTGTAATTAAACAATATCAAATAAAGAGAAAAAGCAATGAACATATACTGGGGAAGGAATTTGTGTCCAACACAGACTTTAAGGCAAGAACACGCATAGCAACTGATGGTTAACTAAACACAAGCGCTAAATTAAATGGTCATACAAATAAAGGATTCCTTCACTCTAAAGTATTAACATGCAGCATTCTATAATGGTTTGAACATCTTACCTGTGTTTTATACAGTAAGAAATCTTACAAGAAATGCTCAGTAATACTTTTAGTAAGAAAGCTTTTGAAAACTCCTTGTGCCCATCCCCAAATCATTCCTATGTCCAACTTATGCTGCTTTGAACAGTTTCAACTCTAAAATGCTAAAGAGAGCATTATCTTTAATAAATGCAGATTAGTCTAAGTCTTGTACATAGTTTCTTCACATACAAAGTTCAGCTAATTCTCACATGTTAATGTTATGTCCTAACCTGCCTGAACTACTCTCATTGTACTCTGTAAGAAACCTACTCCCTTCAGAAATATACCATTTACATTTTCTACTTCAGACTCATGCTATTGCTTGGATAGTAGAAAGAATGTGAATTTAACATGTATCTATCGGCTTTTATTATAGGCTTACACTCTCTTATGCAGCTACTTACCACACTTGAGGGTGGATAGACCCCATGGGGCTGAGATTGTGCCTGGACAACAGAAGCTGTATGCCCTGGGAGTGTGCCAGTAGAATGTGCCTGTTCATGCTGGGACCCATATGAAACTGTCTGTTGGCTGCTCACTCGAGATTCTGTGAAGACAGAAGATCCTTGACCACTGTCAACAGTCCCGTCAGCTGAAGAAGAAATAAATTGTGAAAAAACAGAGAAAAATCACAAAAAGGAGGTTTATATTTTCCCATCACAAACCCAGACTTTCTTTTTCTTTGGGGTTAGATCTTCTTTGCAAAGATCTGACCTAAATAAAAAATAAATACTAGTTTTTAATAAGTAGGTGTCTATGCTTAAAAACATGAAGGATCCATATGGGAAAAAAGTTTTGATGTCTTAAAAAAAAATTCATAGCTATCCTAGAATCTTATTATCTGAAGAATAAGGAAAATAAAATGGAATGCTGTTAGCTGTAAGTTTGACACACCTTTCAAAGTCTTAACTTTGGGGACCAGTGCATTTTTTGTGTTAAGCAGGTAGTTTAATCAAAAACTAGTAACCTCATTAGTTTCTACTTTATATGTTATTGAGTTTTGCTAAAAAAGCTGAACCTGGCTAATGGGTTCAGTTACAAATAGCTAAGATAAACTTGTTCATTTTTCATTATTAGTTACATTTCATTTTATTTATTTTTGTAGATGTAAGTTTTAAAAAAGTTTTAATTTAAATTCCAGTTAACATACAGTGTAGTATTAGTTTCATAATTATATTTTATTTTAAGGAATTGTGAAAAGTAGAAATCTACAAACTGGAATTTTCAAGATGTTGGAACCTGTAAAATTATTTTACACTCTAATCACATTTTCTTATCTTTTTAGTCTATTAGTGATAGATGTAGGTGATAATCATTTGACACATGGGAAAAGGTAGGGTGGTAATCATTTCAAATTTCTTATTATATGTTAGATTTATGATTCAAACCAAGAGGCCAGTACAAAATGATGAACAAGAAGTTGAAAAGTCAACTAAGGATATCCTTAGCATACCTGTGCACATCACAAAATACTTACATAATACAGATATACTAGTTTGTTGGTACTGTAGCTGTTGATGTTGATCTGCCTCAGGTTCTTCAGGTTCTACTTGCGTAGAAACTGAAGCTGAAGTGGTAGAAGCAGTAGGCATGCCAGTGCTGACAGAAGGGATCTGCTTGACTCCTGCCTGGGAAGTACTTGATTGTTGTTCTACCTGCTGTTTGAGACTGCCCTCTTCCTGCTTTCTTTTTTCTTGCTCCTCTCGAACCAACTGCCGCTGTTCTCGTTTTCTCTTAATTAATGATACTCTATCTTTGATGGCTTTTGCCATGGTCTTGTGATCACCTTCACAGACGTACCCAGACTCTACCTACAAGATACAAGAGTGCATTAGGAAGCAGAAGAAAACAAACAGAAAACAAAAAAGGCACCTTTAGGAGAAAAAAAATAAGAAAGGGGAAAGAGAAAGACCTCTCCAAGGACTGGCCTTAACCAAACTGTGAAATTACTTGTCTGCATCATGCATTTCTCCATTTTTTTTTGTAGATACTCATGGGGTGGGTGCCATCATCTCTGTAGAAACTCTTAGGGTAGGTGTACCTTCACTTCTTACAACAACAAAACAATGGGGAACCTAAAACCAAAGTTTTTTTTTTAATTTTTCTTACAGATTTTATTTATTCATGAGACATAGAGAGAAAGGGGGTGCGGGGCAGAGACACAGGCAGAGGGAGAAGCAGGCTCCATGCAGGGAGCCCAACATGGGACTCGATCCCGGGTCTCCAGGATCATGCCCTGGACTGAAGGCGGCGCTACACCGCTGAGCCACCTGGGCTGCCCCCCAAAGTTTTTAAACCAAGTAAGGCTCTTCTACTCTAGTCAATCTATTTTCCCCTTACATGTAACTATTAATGTTAACTTGTGTTTTTACTTCTTTTCCCTAGGCAATAACTTAACCAGGTAAAACAATTTTTATAAATACATGAAAGTTAAAAATACACACACACACAAACACAAATCTCTAAAGGTATAAAAAACTAACAATTAAAATAAGTATCTCTTTCATACCTGACCCCTTCTCAGAAGCAACTTCTATCAAATGGGGGCTGATAAATTCTGGTAGAGAGTCTATGAGTATCTCTGCATATTAACAGTTTAGACACTATGGCGAGCCTAAAATTGGTAAAGTGTTTCCTTTCTGAAAATGACCTTTTAGACATACTTCAAAAGATGATTCACCAAAGGCTGCCTACTAATAATTGTTCTTAAAAATTCCCTCAAAGTAAAAACAATTTATGATATATTTATAGGGTTTATCCAGATGACTGATCAGATGTTATCAGTATTTAGAAAATATAACTTGTCATTATAACTCAGTAGGTTTATATAAATTAGGAGTCATTCAACCTCACAGATGTTCACATTATTTCAGAATGCATTCTAGATCTACTCATCCATCCATCTATCCATCCTAATATATCTACTTCTATATATCTTTTCCTCAAATAAAAAGAACTTTGGGGGCCACCAATCAACACAATTTTATATCTGAGATCTTCCACCCACAATGCTTCAGAAACTTTTTTGCTCAATATTACTGTTTACTTATTTTATTTTAAAAAAAGATTTATTTATTTATTTATCTATTCGTGAGAGACAGAGAGTGAGGCAGAGACACAGGCAGAGGGAGAAGCAAGTTCCATGCAGGGAGCCTGATGTGGGACTTGCTGCCAGGTCTCCAGGATCACGCCCCAGGCGTGCGCTAAGCTGTTGAGCCACCCAGGCATCCCAACATTAATGTTTATAAATCTACATCAATTTTTAAATAGCGGATCAACACTAATTTACCATTTCTTTAAAAAAATTTTTTTAATTTAAATTCAATTTAATTAACATATTAGTTAATAATTAACATTATTAGTTTCAGAGGAAGAATTTAGAGATTCATCAATCACATATAACACCTACTGCTCGTTCCATCAAGTGTTCTCCCTAACAGTTAAGAGTCTCTTATTGTTTTAGAAATTTTATTTTTTCCTACAGTTAAGAGTCTCTTATGGTTTATCTCCCTCTGTTTCCATCTTATTTTTCCTTCCCTTCCCCTGTGTACAACAGTTTTGTTTCTTAAATTTCACATATGAATGAAATCATAGGATATTTGTCTTTCCTGACTGACTTATTTAGCTTAGCATAATACCCTCTAGTTCCATCCACATTTACCATTTCTTGAGCAACATCTTCTGGCACATCTCTTTCCAAGTCAAAGGAAAACTCAATAGCTTCATTGTCTTTGTATTTTCCCTTTAATTTCTTAATATCTTCAATACGTAGCCATAATTTAATGGCTATCTTTTCTCCATCATCTTCTTCTGCTAATTCTACCCGTACCCCTGTTTCCTCCTGGAAGAAGGCATGGTTCAAAAGGTCTTTGATAGAATACCTTCCAAAGAGAGAGAAATGAAACAAAAAACCAAACAAAATGTCATTAGATTGAAAATATAATTTTCATGTGCGGCTGATTATTGTTATGCTTGGAATAATATAGGCAGACTATAAAAAAGGGAAACTTTATAACTCATTACTACATGAGTTCCATGTGAATAGTCATTACAGTTTTACTCTGAAGTTATACAACATCAGAACAATTTCATTTATAAATAAGAGCTGAAAGCTAATACTTTTTAATCTAAGTGATCTAACCTCTTATTGGTTAACAAATAGCAAGTAATACACAGAATATCATAGCTTCAAAATACACACATAATTTATGCAGAATTTATAGTTAGCAAATACTCCTCTTATTTATGATCCCCTCTGATCTTTGACCAACATCCAATGAGGTATTTTCTGATTACTAGGAAATAGAGGCTTAGAGAGAGTGAAAATCTTGCTCACAGTTATAAACCTCAACTGGTTGAATCAAAATTTGAAACTAGATTTTGTGATTTCTAGTTCTTTACCTTCTACTACAACTTTGTTTACTGATATAAATTCTCTCAATTCCTTGGTCAACAATTTGTGTACTAGGTAAAAAGTCTGATTATGGAATAATCTTCTTTAGATAAATGGTTTCAAAGAACCAGTAATCTAGTAAACTGCACCATCCAGAAAAGAAACAGAGTAATATTGTTCTAAGACTGGAAACAAATATTCCTTTGTTTATAGTAAAAAAAAAAAAAAAACAAAAACAAATAAACAAAAAGTTCTTAGATTAAGGACTCTCCTTTCCAAATGTATATAAAATTAGAAACCCAAACTAAAGTTCTACTAAACAGCCTTACAGATCATGATGTTAAGCTCTTCCAAATAACAATGTTATGAAAAGAATATGAGACTGGCGAAGTGAAGATCCTGAATTCTTTAATTTGGCTGATATACTTGATCACTCACATTTTTTAGGAACTGGATTACACTCAACTTACAATTTATATTTATATTGGCTGGTCTACTTTTTCTTTCTTGGAGGGTGAGGGTGGATTATTTTTAAAAAGCAGACACTGGATCTTTGCCATGCCTAATGGGTGATGAATCAGCTATGACAGATCAGATACTTGCCACTCCTCTGAGAAGAGTCCTATTAGTAAAAATGACTAAGCCAAATCTCCTCCTAAGCTTTGGGCAAAGTTGTCTCTTTTTTACTGAAAGGCATTTTGATGTTTGTTCTTTAATTCTGGCATAATGAAAGCAAATTAAGATGTGTAGAGTTGAGCTGATTTTAAAGAGCCAAGATTTTATTTCACCTTTTAGAATTCAATTGGTAAAAAAGTAAGGAACAAATCTGCTGGTTAGAGAGAAACTGAACCCTACTGGTTTCATAAGTCATGCGGACGCTACAAGTAATTAATTCTTACTGAATGTAGCAGCTATGTTTAAGGTGGTTCTGGTTTATGTAAACTCTACCATACCACATTTTAATAACATTCAGTGTATCAAATCTCAACACTGCCTTAAATGGACAGAACTCTACTTTTTTTTAAAAAAGATTTTAAAAATTTTTTATATTATTTTTTAAGTAATCTCTACATCCAACATGGGGCTTAAATTCACCATCCCGAGATCAAGAGTAGCATGCTCTACTGACCGAGCCAACCAGGCAGCCCCAGAACTCTTTTTTTTTTTTTTTAAAGATTTTATTTATTTATTCATGAGACAGAGAGAGAGAAAGAGAGAGAGGCAGGCCGAGACACAGGCAGAGGAAGAAGCAGGTTCCACGCAGGGAGCCCAATGTGGGACTCGATCCCGGAACCTCGGGATCATGCCCTGAGTCAAAGGCAGATGCTCAACCACTAGCCATCCAGGCTTCCCTAGAACTCTACTTTTAAAGATATTATGTAAGTAGAGAAATTAATCACAAGTATTAAGTAGTTTGGATTGAGTACTGTATTCAGAGCTTATCATATTTTAGGTTTTTAAGCAACACCTAAATCAAAAGTGGAAACTTACCTTTCATCTTTGTTTTGCCTTATGCATCCTTCAATAATTTCCTTCACTTCAGGAATTGCTACTTTGTCAAAACTGGCTGGCTTTACTCCCTGAGAAACATAAAAATAGCAAAGGAAACACATTAATAAAGGCAGGTTCTTTGAACTTTGATTTTGAATTGCCTCTTAAGGTTCTATTAGATTGCCTTCTCACCATCCTGGCTTTTTTCTGATTTGCCTGAAGGAGCTGGTCCATTGCAGGGTCAGAATTGGGTAGTGGCAATTTAACTCCCACAAGAAAACAACAAGGAATAGTCAGACAGTGGGATCACTTACTTCCATGGCCTCTATATGTAGCTAAGGAAAAATTTAAGCTGTTGTCAATATCTTCTGCTGTTTCAGGTAAAGGAAATTACTGGCTCAAGAGAAGGGCCAAATGTTCTAACTGGTTAGAAGATCTTTTGTGCAGCCTTGTTCCCTAACACATTAATCAACACAGTATTTAACCATTTTAAACAGTGAATCCATGAATGGGCATGAATTCACATGCTTAGTTTGGCAGGTATTCTATTATCATAGTACTCTTTAACAAACTCAACAGAGGAGGTAAGGATTTGGGTTGGTTTGGCATAACAGAAGAACAAACTGTCTTGTACATATGAAACATAAAATGAAAAGTGATAAACCAGGCCCATATAAAAGACAAGGTTTCTAATTAATTTCAGAAGAAAATTCAATACCACTATTTTAGGTAATACTATATAGTATCCTAGTAGCATTTTAGAACCTTCGTAACATGTAAATTTTTTGCAAACAAAAATTTCAGCCATGTGTGGAAAATATACGTAAGATGTAACAAAATAACCCCTGCTGAAAGGTGAAGTGGAGAAAAACATTTCATTTTCTCTTCCCATCGTGTCTAAGTAACCACATGGATTGATGCAGCTGCACTGATACACTGTCCAAGTGGCAGTGTAAGTCTATAAACACATAAAACGCAGAGAACGGGAAATAAGGGAGAGGGACTAGAAAAGTCAGAATATAGCATATAAATTTTAATCACCTATTGTCTCAGTGACAAGACAGATTAAAACAGAATTAGTGAAAATTTGATAAATCACAGAAATGCATGTAACCTCTCACAGACTGAAATGAAATGCATCAAATGGTTAGCACTTTGTCTTTAAATACTGGAGTTGTGATTGGGTAAGTCTCATCAATTACTCAACTGTGTTATTCAAAACTCCTGATTTGGAGGATTCTACCTCTCCCTCTAGGAATAACTTTCCATACCAAGGAACTGTAAGTAGGGCTGACCCTAAAGTTAAATCCATGCATTTATGCCCCAACATATCTCAGCACTACCTGGGTCCTTTACCAAGATCTAGGACGCTGATACATATATAAGAGACTTGTGAAATATTTATGTCCAAATATAACATGTATTATGTATATTTAAATGAAATATATAACTTTCTCTTTTAGCATTTGACAAAATTTTGATGGTAGAATGAGTAAAGTGGGCAGATGGATGATGGGATCTTTCTGTAGTGCTTTCACCACCTCTAAAACAGCAACTGGAAGAGATGTATATAAACAACATGACCCAACCATTAGATTTTCTTATAAATAAAAACTGCAACACATATTCTAAATGATAATATAGAAAACATAAAAGGTTGCTTAACTGATTTTAATAACATGACATAAAGCCCCTACACTTGATAGAATAGCTATACAAAATATAGATGAATACTGTCTTCTTTTAAAAATATAAAATAAGACGTGAAAATAGGCAAATTTCCATTAAATAAATGAAGAAAATTAAATCAATCAATCCATGCATTTAAAAGGTTAGTTTCTAAGTACTAAATACTGACTAAAAGTTTGTATTTTCCTCAATTTTCTTATTTTTCAAAAACAGCTTAGCTTTCCCAACTGGTCTTTGTCTTCATATAATAATTCTAATGAGAACAAGAAAATAATGTTGCTGAAGCAAAAAGTTGCTTTACTTCAGCAAGCTGGTTTGGTATTTCAGACTAAGGCTTAAGAAAATAGGAACTGTTTTAAGAAAAAAAAAAAAAAAAGATGACATACCCTAAAAGTTCTCTGATAGTGGAAACACTGGAGATTTTGTTTTATGTTTGTTTTTAATGTTGTGTAACATACATGTAAAACTGTATAAAAGAAAATTTTAAAGATGCTATTTATAAACAATGTAGAGAACAATCTAAAATATATTAAGTTTGTAGAACATTTATTATTAGCAGAAAATTATCTAAAAGAATGTTCTTTGGTAAAACTGGACACTAAATACATATTTGGCCTTTGCATGTAAAGACAATCCAAATATTACAGGAAACTGGATAAAGAGAATATAGAATATGATCAGATGTATTATCAGATGTATTATCTAGACTGAAAGCTCTTTGAATTATTAAGTTTGCTTTTGAATTCAGAGGCAATCGCTGAAGATAATAAAGCTTAGGTCTAAAAGGAAGCAAATAATTCTCTTGAAAAATAATCACCACAATCTATAGTGAACCTACTTTCATTCTTGGTTGTCTTTATTTTTTTTTTATTTTTATTTATTTATGAGAGAGAGAGAGAGAGAGAGAGAGAGAGAGAGAGAGGCGCGCAGAGACATAGGCAGAGGGAGAAGCAGGCTCCATGCACCGGGAGCCTGACGTGGGATTCGATCCCGGGTCCCCAGGATTGCACCCTTGGCCAAAGGCAGGCGCTAAACTGCTGCGCCACCCAGGGATCCCTCTTGGTTGTCTTTAAATAATACTCTTGTTAATCCTACCCATGCAAACACACACACACACACACACACACACACACACACACACACACTTTACAAATAGGAATTCCTATTTACAAACAGAAATACTAGTTGAACAAATGAGCTATGTAAGGTTATAACAGCAAAACCAGCAACTGCGAGTCATAAACGCCTGGAATCTACTAGGTTAAGCTGCTTTCTCAACCTATTCAAGATTAAAATAGAGAAGACTCCATACCAATGCTATCTAACATTCTGACACCAGTACCGACTTAAAAAAATGTATTGCAGGTACCAAGGGAGCCAATAAAACTGAGATATACCTTACTAGTCCAGTAGCTGATATTAAAAGATTAATGCAGTTTATGGCTACCCACTTAGATAATGAAAAAGGTAGAAGAAACTTCAGCTATCAGTCAGCTACTATCAAGCCAGCCAGGATTATCAAAATACCTAGCAGAAGTATTCTGAATCATTTTGAGAAGAATATATGGGGTTGTATACTGAAAATGATCCCCAAAATGTAAAAATGAGTATGAAACTTCACCCCTGAAAGTGACCTTACAAAAAAGTCATCTGGGACAGACATATCATAGAAAGCTGCTTAAAATAAACAAGTACAGGTTTTGATACTTTCATCATACTTACAGGTTTAAGAAATGAAAGAACTCAATATATTTTAAAATATTTTTGGTAACTGTTGACTTTTTAAAGAAAAAAAAAGATCCGGATTATTCTAAAACATGGTTTTAAGCACCAGACAGAACAAAATACTGATGAGAAAAAACATTTGACAAGATTTCATTTTCATCTTTTTTCCCTTTCATACACTTCAACAAAGATAATCAACTTAGAGTCTTTAAAATCCTCCTAATGTAACCCCTTTACTTCCTGATTTAACTTCACTAAGTACTACTCTAGTCCAGTTTCAACCAGTAAAGGCAAAGTTCTGCTCACTTCTTCTGAATGAGGGTTAAAAACCCAAAACAGAAGAATACTAAGGTAGACAAATTGGGCTAATACATTACACATAAGAAAAATCTGGTTAGAGACACTCCCTCTTATTCCATTTTTCTGCAGCCAGCAACCCACTGGCTCTAGAAATATTCTTGCTTACTTTTGTAATTCACAGGATCCCTCTTTAGGCAAATAGTGCTATGTTATGTTTTTTTGACATGGGAGAGTAACATGTTTCCCTCCATTAAACAAAAGTACTTCTTGAATATTTAATGTATATATCCATTTACTTCTGGGTTTATACAAAATTATATGTTCTCTTTTTTTTTCTAAGATTTTATTTATTTATTCATGAGAGACATATACAGAGAGAAAGGCAGAGACACAGGCAGAGGGAGAAGCAGGCTCCCTGTAAGGAGCCAGATGTGGGACTAGATCCCGGATCCTGGGATCATGCCCTGAGCTGAAGGCAGATGCTCAACCGCTGAGCCACCTAGGCGTCCCTATATGTTCTCTTAAAACAAAAACAAAGACTACTTTTGTGCAATTTTAGAGTACAAAAAACAAAACAAAAAAACGAACCCAAAGACAAACAAAAAAACCTAACAATTGTGACTCCCCCAAAGTCACATTAAGAGTTGATATACTTATAAAATGTTGATTTGAACCAAGAAAAATGAAAAACACATACATGCATTTTATAGATTCAGTTTTCCTTTGAATTCTATTTACTTATAGTTTGCCAACTAGCCTGCTTGAAAAGTGATTCATAATACAGTATTTTCTGGTTCAATATTCTAGCTCTTAAAACTGTCAGTACTTGCTTCTTGCTTATTAAAAGCTCAGGTTTCAAATGTGTTAGGGTAACATTTATCTATACTTTCATAAAAGTAAAACTCTTCCTATCTATCTATTATCTATCTATCTATCTATCTATCTATCTATCTATCTATCTATCTTTTCTTCCTAACAATTTAGAATTGAGAAAAGCCTCCTTCCCCCTCTACAAAATGTAGTGGAAGTTAACTAAATCACAAAACTTCAAGTGTTTTAAAAGACATTCTAAAATAAATAATTTCACATTGCTACATATATTACCAAATGGCTACAATACACCTTTTGTATATATCAGAAATTCTTACCCACCTCATTTACACAATCCTTTTGAGGGCAGCAGCAGCAATGAGAATTTATGATGACAAACACTGAGCAGAAGTCTTTCTTTGTAAAATCCATCACAAAAGACAAAACAAACTTGTTACAGTTAGAGGAAAAGGGAGGAAATTGATAAAAATGGAAATTAACAGTAAATTAGCCTACAGCATAAGCAAGGCAGACATCAAAGTCAGACTGAAGCATAGTTTCTTGT